TGAATTAGCATGTTGTTAGCATAATTCTAGCATGAATTAGCATGTTACTAGCATGATTCTAGTATGAATTAGCATGTTACTAGCACGATTCTAGCATGAATTAGCATGTTACTAGCATGATTCTAGCATGAATTAGCATGTTACTAGCATGATTTTGGCATGAATTAGCACGATTCTAGCATGAATTAGCATGTTGTTAGCATGATTCTAGCATGAACTAGCATGTTACTAGCATGATTCTAGCATGAATTAGCATGTTGTTAGCATGATTCTAGCATGAATTAGTATGTTACTAGCATGATTCTAGCATGAATTAGCATGTTACTAGCATGATTCTAGCATGAATTAGCATGTTGTTAGCACGATTCTAGCATGAATTAGCATGCTACTAGCATGATTCTAGCACGAATTAGCATGTTGTTAGCATGATTCTAACATGAATTAGCATGTTACTAGCATGATTCTAGCATGAATTAGCATGTTGTTAGCATGATTCTAGCATGAATTAGCATGTGACTAGCATGATTCTAGCATGAATTAGCATGTTGTTAGCATGATTCTAGTATGAATTAGCATGTGACTGGCATGATTCTAGCATGAATTAGCATGAGACTAGCATGATTCTAGCATGAATTAGCATGTAACTAGCATGATTCTAGCATGAATTAGCATGTGATTAGCATGATTCTAGCATGAATTAGCATGTAACTAGCATGATTCTAGCATGAATTAGCATGTTGTTAGCATGATTCTAACATGAATTAGCATGTTACTAGCATGATTCTAGCATGAATTAGCATGTTGTTAGCATGATTCTAACATGAATTAGCATGCTACTAGCATGATTCTAGCATGAATTAGCATGTTGTTAGCATGATTCTAACATGAATTAGCATGTTACTAGCATGATTCTAGCATGAATTAGCATGTTGTTAGCATGAATTGGCATGTGACTAGCATGATTCTAGCATGAATTAGCATGTTGTTAGCATGATTCTAGCATGATTAGCATGTGACTAGCATGATTCTAGCATGAATTAGCATGTGACTAGCATGATTCTAGCATGAATTAGCATGTAACTAGCATGTTTCTAGCATGAATTAGCATGTTGTTAGCATGATAGATAGATAGATAGATAGATAGATAGATAGATAGATAGATAGATAGATAGATAGATAGATAGATAGATAGTTAGATAGATAGATAGATAGATAGATAGATAGATAGATAGATAGATAGATAGATAGATAGATAGATAGAAGCAGTTTATAGATAGATAGATAGATAGATAGATAGATAGATAGATAGATAGATAGATAGATAGATAGATAGATTAAAATAGTAGGTAGATAGATAGATAGATAGATAGATAGATAGATAGATAGATAGATAGATAGATAGATAGATAGATAGATAGATAGATAGATGGTGTGCGAGCATGAGTCAAACAAGCCAACCCCCACCTCTCTACGATGTTCTGATGCTGAGATATAGCTGCTGTTATATCGTTGCTAGGTTAGTCTGTTTTGTTGCTATGGAGTTGATTGACAGCTTAGACTGATGATGTATCAAAGCTTCTTGCCAGTATGAACAGTTAAAAACAACCCCCATGTCTCTATCACACTGCAGCATGACAATATCAGTCTGAACCTCTTTAATGGCAGTCTATGGGACAGTTGCTAGGGTGCAGTATCTGGTTGTTAGGGTGTGGCTAGAAAGTTAAAAGGACATCAGTGATTGGCTGCTGGCTAGACTGAGTTAAATGAGCTCAATCATTAGTCTGTAGGACAGTCTGATGCAGAGTTATGAGCTCACAAAGTTTGATCCCATGCAAAGTCAATGAGAGTATTTTGCAATGGAAGTCTATGGGACGGTTTCTAGGGTCCAAAAGTGGTTGCTAGGGCGTGGCCAGAAAGTTTAAAGGTGGTCAGTCATTGGCAGTTTGATAGTCTGAGTTAAATGAGCCCAGTTAGAAGTCTGTGTGACATTCTGATGCGGAGTTATGAGGTCACAAAGTTTGATCCAATGTTACGTCTATGGGATTTTTCCGACGGTCCCGGGACGTTTTTCGGAAAACCGAAAGTCGGATCAGTCGGAAAGGATATAGCAACTCGAGTCAGAATAGTTCGGAGGTCTGACCCGAGTTTGATGGTCATAGCTTGAAAGGTCTAGGTGGAGATAGAGTTTAATTTTTAGTCTCAGAAGAAGAATAATAATATAAATAATAATAATAATAATAATAAGTTTAATAGGATAACAGTAGTCTGGCTTGCTACACAAGCCAGCCTAATAATAAGTTTAATAGGATAACAGTAGTCTGGCTTGCTACACAAGCCAGCCTAATAAGTTTAATAGGATAACAGTAGTCTGGCTTGCTACACAAGCCAGCCTAATAATAAGTTTACGTGAGATAACAGTATGTTGGCTTTTCAAGCCACCATAATAAGTTTAAGTGAGATAACAGTATGTTGGCTTTTCAAGCCACCATAATAATCCCACGTTCAGCATTAAAGTTCAGTGAAATCTGTGATAAATTAACATACATGAGTTATGAATTGTTATAATATTAGACTTGGTTCTTTAGTTTGAAGATTCAGTTGAATGAAAATCGTGACTATAATATTTCATAATGACACATTCCAGTGTTCTGTCTCAGCTGCAGGAAACACACTGTCCTGAATTCACCTCATAATAGCCCTGCCCATAATTTTTATTTTTTTTTATTTGCTCGTTTATTTTACAGGGACACTACACTTGACATTGTTATACAAAGATAACCGATGTTGTGTACATAGGGCATATAGCATAAAGCTAATTTGCAGCCCTCGTCCCTGGTTAGGCTTTACATTATAAAAAAGAAAAATAATAATAATAATAATAATAATAAAGAAAACCGGCAAGAATAAAACACAATACAGCAAACATGTACAATATTTACAGAGCCATAAACATAAGATGCAAGTCCATATGGATAAAGAGAAATGTAACCCCGTCCCACCCACAGATGCCCCGCCCACATTATCTACAAGCTCTGTTGTGCTGTTTTTGTGCCCTCACTGAAGTGTGCACTATACAGCTGTAGGAAAAGAACTCAAGAAAACACTTGAAAATACTTCTGTCTAATATTGCTTTAGTAGGAATGGGGTTGGGTAAGATTTTATTATATACAAGTCTAAAAATATTTCTCACAAATTAGAAAATAAAACATTTTGTTCGCTTTTTTATGACATGATATATATAACTCACCTATACGGCATGTCTTTGGGGTCTGGTGAACCAGAGCACCAGCATATTATATTATATTATATTATATTATATTATATTATATTATATTATATTATATTATATTATATTATATTATATTATATTATATTATATTATGTATGTTATATTAAATATACCTGTTTTTAATTTAGAATATTCATGTTATGTTATTTTCAAAAAATATACGTTGCATTTCAAATGTAAATAAAGTGTCCGTTTTACTATTCAAATAAAATGTCTAGAGATATCTGCAATCATAATATGCTTCATCATAATTCAGTGTATATATTATTTTTGGCATTTATTATACATTTACTGGTCACATTATTAGGTACACTTGTCCAACTGCTCGTTAACACAAATTTCTAATTAGCCAAGCACATGGCAGGAACATGATCGAGATGATCTGCTGATGATTAAAAACCGAGCATCAGAATGGGGAAGAAATGTGATTTAGGTGAATTTGAACGTGTCATGGTTGTGGGTGCCAGACAGGCTGGTCTGAGTATTTCATAAATGGCTGATCTACTGGGATTTTCACGCACAACCATCTCTTGGGTTTACAGAGAATGGTCTGAAAAAGAGAAAATATCCAGTTCTGGGCAGTTCCAAAGGTCAGAGTAGAATGGCCGGACTGGTTTGAGCTAATAGAAAGGCAACAGTAACTTACAACCAAAGTATGCAGAAGAGCATGTCTGAACACACAACACATCCAACCTCGAGGCAGTAGCAGTCTACCTGAGTATTGTTGCTGACCATGTGCATCCCTTCATGACCACAGTGTACCCATCTTTTGATGGCTACTTCCAGCAGTCATCTCAGACTCATTTCTCCAACATTAAAATAAGTCACTCAAATGGCCTCCACAGTCACCAAATCTCAATCCAATAGAGCACCTTTGGGAGATTCACATCATGGATGTGCAGCTGTCAAATCTGCAGCAACTGCGTGATGCTATCATGTCAATATAGACCAAAATCTCTTGAGGAATATTTCTAGTACATTGTTGAATCGATGCCATGAAGGATTAAGGCAGTTCTGAAGGCAAAAGTGGGTCCAACCTAGTGCTAGTTAGTTGTACCTAATAAAGTGGCCAGTGAGTGTATTTTACACGTTTTGACAATTTATATTGAAAAAAAAAAGCAGACACATTTCTTGCATTTGAAATGCAAAGTATACAAAACATATAAAAAAGTAAGTAATCAATGTACATTTTAGTATATTTTAAATTATTATTTACGAATGAATAAAACCTAGGATAGTGGAAAATGTAAAGATTTAACATGGCAATGAATTATTAGTATTTTGCGGCTGTGCTGTTACACTGGAAAAATTGATTGATTGGATTTACATATTTTTTTTTGTAAGGTATGTGACTGCAAACAATAAATACGGGCTGAATTTAAACAAACAAAATAAGCTGAACATTATTAAATTAAATTTGTTTGTTTAAATTTAGACCGTATTAATTGTTTGCAGTCACTTACCTTAAAAAAAAAAAAGTAAATCCAATGAATGACTTTTTCCTGTGTACACTAAATGTGTAAATCACTCTGAAAGTGTGTGCTGGAGCTGGTGTTAACTGCTAGTTACTGTTGGTTGTTTGCAGTGTTTCTGGCGTCTGCAGTGGTGCTGTGTTTCCTGAATCTCTCAGCTCAAGTGTTTGTTCTCTTGGCTTCACTCAGACTCTGTTCAGCCAGAGATTGTCTCATCTCTCATGCTCTTCCTCTCGCAGGTTATGCTTTCCTGCTGTTCCAGGAGGAAAGTTCGGTTCAGGCCCTCATCGACGCCTGCATCGAGGAGGATGGAAAACTCTACCTGTGTGTCTCAAGTCCCACCATAAAAGACAAACCAGTGAGTGAATCATAGGCCTGTCATGATAAGTCCTTTTTGTTGTGCGATATATTGTCATAGAAATGTTTGCAATAGGTGATATTATTTTAATTTTATGACCAATTTATGCCTGTTTATATAGTGATTCTACAACAGGATTTACATTGGCATAAACACATTCAAGGCTCAAAATCCACATGCAAATGTCCTTTTTGGCTTTAATGTTATTTGTGAATCATAACTTTTCTGCAAGTGGACTGCAGATTTTAAACAATGTGAAAATTCACCTTTTCTTGGCCTGTGAGTTTCATGAAATTAAAAAATGATTGAGGTCATGTTCATGCATTGCGCTATAAGTCAATATATTGTTTACTGTAACAGGCATAGTGAAGTTTCTGCCATCCAAACCAGTGTAGCGAGCACCTTATCTAGACTGAATGACTGCATACAATGAACATGTTTCAGATGGTTTGACATGGAGTTGGTATTCTTTTTGTGATCAACTTTTTGATTTGTATTGTTTTCAAAGATGTTATGAGGCAAATGTTCAAAGAGAAAAGTGCAACAGACAGAATTAATATATTTAAAATAAATAATATATGAATTAAATAGAAAAAATATACAAATAAAAAAGAAAGTTCTAAAATAAAACTACAACCAAAACTTTCTAAAACTTTTTTGCTACTTGAAATAAAATACACATTAACTGAAATAAAATATTATTTTATAAAAACCTGAAAGTTAATATAACCATATTACAATTTTAAATATCTATAAATATGTTATCATTCATTTCTCATTCAGTAGTATTAATAATATTAGTTTCTGTTAATTATAATAACTTTTAAATATATTCTGTTTTTTTAAATAGATGTAACATATGAAATTTTATTGATATAAATATATATATTTTTAAATCCTTAGGAATTAAAAAGAAAAAAAAATGTAACCATCAGTAAATAGTGTGATAATTGTAAGATTCTAAAATAATTGTCTCTAATAAATAATTTTACTGCAAGCAAACCTGAAACTTGATTTAAAATGTGTGTGTGCGTGCATATATACATGCATTTTGTTATCATTGATTTCATCATTCAATATTATTAATAAAAACAGGTTAGTATATTTAAATATTTAAAATGTGTATTAATTATTTAAAAATACAAATAATATGTTAATGATAGAAATAAAAATAATAAAATGATATCTTTTATAATTATCTTTTGATTAAATCATATTATTTTCCTAAGCTCAGTGACAGAATACTTTTGAGTATACTTTAGTATTTCAATAGAGGCGATCTCCTCCTCTGAGAAAAACAGAGCTCAGTGATTTCTCCTGTTGGAAAAAGGAATTTATTTTTATTACTTTTGTGTCTTTTTTTATTAGAAAAATGTTTAGACTAACAACAGATTAATCCATCTTTTCTATTGTATTATAACACATCTTGACCAGACACATTTCCTTTTTTTTACTGTGCTGCATACTTTTTAGAAGAACTGCTGACTAGTGTAAAAAGCAGAATAAGAATAAATTTAGGTTTGTTCCAGACTGCTGTCTGGACATGTCACAAGTTGTCATGATATTTGTAGAAGTTGTGAAATATATTAAAGATGCATGTAATTGTTCAGTTCTGGTATGCAGAGAAGGGTTGCAGAAAGAGGAAGTATGTCTAGGGGTACAAAGAGCCAAGAGACTGCAGAGTGACTAATAAGAGACGTTAAACCAAAACTTCACCTGTTAAGATCAGTTGTGTACATATGCTGAAGTCAGGAAATATAAGTTAGTTGCGAACCTCCTGAATGTAATTCTTGTATTGCATTGGGGTAACGTAACCCAGAGCTCTGTCATCGAATTATTCATTTGTATCTAATAAATTACTAATATTTTTGGCATTGAAGAAAACAATCTCCAGACCTTTTCTTATTAAACACGCATGGAATTGGCTTGATATTCCAACACTCCTCCTCAGGTTCAGATTCGCCCGTGGAACCTCAGTGACAGTGATTTTGTGATGGATGGATCTCAGCCTCTTGACCCGCGCAAGACCATCTTTGTAGGAGGTGTTCCTCGACCTCTGCGCGCAGGTGAATATCTCAAACCGATCCACAAATACAACACCAAGGCCAGTGTTTATACCTTTACTTATACAGTATAGTTTCTTCTTAGCAAGATATGTCATTGACTGACTAATGGAAAAAAAGAAAGAGTGTGCTGTTATATTAGAGGCTTTTGCCAGTATCAAATATTCCTAATGCGGAAGCTTTTATCACAGGACTTGTAGTGATTTTGGGGCCCTAAGCAATTTCAGGTATGTGGCCCCACTGAAACTCAAAGCTAACTTTTGCAAATTTGTGAATAAATCTTTTACTTTTACTTGCTAAATATCATATCCATAAATGCAAATTCTCCAATAATAAACCGCTTTTTAAGTTATTCATTGAAGAATTGAAACAATACTTTGAAACACTTTCTGGTTCAGGAAACACTAAGGGCCTTATCATACACCCGGCGCAATGTGGCGCAAGGCGCGGCGCAATAGTCTTTTGGTACTTTTAGCTCGGCGCAAGGGTCATTTCGAGGTGTTTCGCCATGCTGTTTAAATAGCAAATGCATTTGCGCTCAAATGTGCGCCCATAGGCGTTCTGGTCTTAAAAAGCAGGCGTGTTTTGGCGCGTTGCTATTTTGAGAAACTGTAAATAGTCTGATCTTTAGACCAGAACAAAGTCGGTCTATTGTCTGGCGCAAAGTGCGCCTGGCTTACACACTAACCACAAGATGCAATACGCAAATATCTTTACATATGAAAAAGATATATTATCTTAAGAGTATATATATATATATATATATATATATATATAAGGATATATACAGGATATAAATATAAATGATTAAAATATTACAAAACATATTAATTTCTAGCCTGCATGAAGATTTAAAAACCACTGCCTTCATACTGTCTTCATCTCGGGAGGTTTTTTCAGTTCATTCAATTTGCTTTTGTATAATGTTATTATTATTAGCAGTATTGTTTATTATATCCATATTTATATTTGCTTTATTAAAAACAAGCTTAGATTTGTCCACCTGTCAAATTTTAGACCATATGGGGCATGGCAGGTGTATTTGGAAATAACTCAGTATTTTGACCACATTTGGCCATTATTGTTGATTTATTCGTTTGCTAGAAATTAGAACTGAATTTAGAAATAGTTTTAAACAAATCTTTGTGCTTAACAAACGAAATTAATTATTTATAGGCTAATTGATGTCTGTGTGGTAAGGTTTCCCTATCCACGAGAGCAAAAGCGAAAGTGAACTTACTTTACGTCAAAATGCGCTTATGGCGTGACGCAGCTGGCTCTTAAAGGAAATGGGAGATGAGGCTCTAATTGGTTTATTCTCAAAACACACCTATAACTCAGTAAGAAAATAAACTCAACCCTTTTAGACCATGCGCCATGGCGCAAAGCAGATTTTCCCGTCCTTAAATTAGCAAAAATGCGTTCTGACACGCCTTGAAAGCGTTTGCGCCCTGCGTTTTGCGCTCTGCACATGGACCGTCAAAATAGAGCCCTAAGGCTAGGAAAACATTATCTTGTCATGCCCTATTTAAAATTCCCTTGTAAAAAGCGTTACTTCGTTTTGAAATATTTACACTCTTAATATTGTATTTTTTTTTTAAGCTTTATTTTATATGTATCTCTTATTTAACTTATTGTGTTTTGTTTTTCTTGTTTACTGTTTTATCCCCCTGGCATCCTCTGTTCCTTCTATAGTTCATAATGTTTCATTATGCTGTAATAATTTACTGTTAAATAAAAAATAAATAAAAAAAGAATAAACTCAAAGCTTTCTCTTTCTCTGTAGATATTTTTTGCTCTGTAGATTAGTTTGTCATTATTATTTTCTTTTATAAATAAACTGCATGTTAAAAATATATTTCAAGTGGAACCTTTATCTTCTTAATGTAAAATTAAATACATTAAATTGTACCCATAACCACTGATTACATTAGACCAGTTACTAAAGATGCAATGGCAAAAACACAACCCTGATCAGCTGATCTTCTCACTGTTTTTCATACGAGTTAGCTGTTTCGGTGGCCGTCACTGTTCACTGGGAGCCTTTTATTCATATCATCAACATCATCAGAGAATATGTTACTGTAACATTGTGTTTGTGTGTGTTCAGTGGAGCTGGCGATGATCATGGACCGGCTGTATGGAGGAGTGTGTTACGCTGGCATTGACACCGACCCAGAGCTCAAATACCCCAAAGGTGCGGGTAGAGTGGCTTTCTCCAATCAGCAGAGCTACATCGCTGCCATCAGCGCCCGCTTCGTCCAGCTGCAGCACAACGACATCGACAAGCGGGTGAGTCTCTACATTCAACACTATACAAACTATTAACACTATAATAATACTAAAATACTGGATACAAAGCTTTTATAAATATCTTCATTGCACCATTTTACATTTAAGTATTGAAACATTTGTCTGATATTTAAAATCATTCATGGTCTGTCATCTCCACCTCTCAGTCAGCAACTATGTACAGTACATATATGAAAAAAACACAAGAGAAGTACTAAACCTGTAAGCAACTACTGAAGCTGAAGTTTGTCAGCATATAGCAATGAAGTAAAACACTTAGACGCTAATTTTAACGTCATCCAGAATGAGCTGAATGCCATATTGACTAGACGAGCCGCAGTGTGTTTTTATACTGTACTCTTATAACTGTAATTGTAGAGGTGATTGTATGGTGTGAGTGTGTGTGGTGGTTTTCCTGTAGGTTGTTTGCGCTGAGAGCAGACGCTGTGCTGTAATGGACATGACCAGGGGACGTGGCGTTTGCTAATTATAGTTTCATCCTATTCCTATATATATATACGCACACACACACACACATGCAAACACACTGGACTTACTGGACTGTTTTGGGAATGTTATTCAGAAGTAAATAGCTGATGGTCACTGGACTAAAACTGGATGCTCACCAGAATCAGGCCATCCATCAGTGTGTCAGAAACTCAGACACTGGTTCAGTTTGTGTAAATGTGGATTTAGAAATAAGTCGGTATAAGATACTCTGCACCTCAGCATTCAGAGGTAAATAGACACATTTTAGCTTTGCATTAATAGACTTAAAATAAATAAATTAGTTAATGTATGTATACTGCTCACAAAAATAAGGGGAACACTTAAACAACACACTGTACCTGCAGGTCTACCCTTCTTGTTTTTGAGCAGTTTATATAAATACATTAGATAACACACTGGTTTTCATTAATTTTTCATCAGCTTAGTCTCTTATTCATCAGGGATCACCACAGCCTATCCAGCATATGTTTTACACAGCGAATGACCTTCCAGCTGCAACCCAATACTGGGAAACACCCATACAGACTCACATTCTCTGTAGGCAAATAAAAAAAAAATCTTAAGGGGCCTAATAATAATGACCATATAATTATTAAAATTTTAAATTACTTTTATTCGAGCCAAATAAAGAAAGAAAAGAAAAAAAAACTTTATCCAGAAGAAAAGATATAACCACAAATACTGTAAAAATATCCTTGTAATATTGAGAAATTGCACAATAAACTGTATATTCTAAAATAAGTCCTCATCATAGTTTACATTTTACAATAAAAGTCCTTGTCATACTGTATTTTCTACAATAAAAGTCCTCGTCATACTGTATTTTCTACAATGAAAGTCCTCGTCATACTGTATTTTTTGCAATAAAAGTCCTCGTCATACTGTATTTTCTACAATAAAAGTCCTCGCCATACTGTATATTGTACAATAAAAGTACTCATACGTATATTCTACAATAAGTTCTCATAATACTCTATTTTCTACAATAAAAGTCCTCGTCATACTGTTTGTATATTCTACAATAAAAGTCCTCATCATACTATATATTCTACAATAAAAGACCTCATCACACTGTATATTCTACAATAAAAGTCCTTATCACACTGTATATTCTACAATAAAAGTCCTCATCATACTGTATTTTCTGCAATAAAAGTCCTCATCACACTGTTTATTCTACAATAAAAGTACTCATCATACTGTATTTTCTACAATAAAAGTCCTCGTCATACTGTATTTTCTATAATAAAAGTCCTCGCCATACTGTATATTGTACAATAAAAGTACTCATACGTATATTCTACAATAAAAGTCCTCGTCATTCTGTATATTCTACAATAAGTTCTCATAATACTCTATTTTCTACAATAAAAGTCCTTGTCATACTGTATATTCTACATTAAAGACCCTTGTCATACTGTATATTCTACAATAAAAGTCCTCATCATAGTGTATATTTTACAATAAAAATCCTTATCATACTGTATATTCTACAATAAAAGTCCTCATTATTTCAGACGCTTAAACCAGTGAATTTCTGTGTGTGCACAGGTGGAGGTGAAGCCGTATGTTCTGGATGATCAGATGTGTGATGAATGTCAGGGATCTCGTTGTGGAGGGAAGTTTGCCCCTTTTTTCTGTGCCAACGTGACGTGTCTGCAGTATTACTGCGAGTACTGCTGGGCGAGCATCCACTCGCGGGCCGGCCGAGAGTTTCACAAACCGCTGGTGAAGGAGGGCGGGGATCGACCCAGACACGTGTCCTTCCGCTGGAGCTGATGAACACCGCAACATCGCCCTCTCCACCACAAACACATCACATCTCTGTCCGCTCTGCTTAACAACCTTAGGAAAAGATGAATTGTTGAGTCTGCGTGCTCAAACGTTGCACTTTGGCACAAACAGTCGATGTTAACGCTTATCAGGGTGTTGTGCTGTTAATTCGCTCATTTTCCTCTGTTTGATCAGTTTAGTGCTCCATATTGGTAACATTAGGCAGTGTGAGACTATATATATATATATATATATATAATATATACATTTACAAAAAGATCTATTTTTATTTTATATTTATCTATATGCATATAGGTAATACGTTTTGAGTGTCAGACTTTTTAAAAGGCGCATGCACTTATTGTGAAAAATAAATAGAAATTTTCCCCTGTAGAGTACAACAAAAATAAGATTTACCAAAGGTAAAGTAGGATAAATCATGTTGGGTGAGCTGTTCACAAACACCCGAGTTAACTCGATTCGCTCTCCGTGTTGAGATGACTAGTAATACCTCACGCATGCATCTCTTTCTGTTCGCTTCAGTTTTTTAGGCTCATTTTTTTATACGAGTTTTTTAGTATTATCTACATGTAATGCTGCAATAGCTTTGCTGCTAAATCATGGTATGAATCTGTACCGTCATACGTTATTCAGGCAAATGAGGGTCTGCGTCTGCACCCACACTGCATGAACATGAGTCTGCGATGCATGCTGGGAAATCAGGCCTAACATTTGTTTTCCGACTTTGGACGAGCGACGCGGAGCACAAACTGAGTGCTGCAAAAAAAAACGACCAGATGACCGTATATACAGAGCCCATGAAAGGATGTGGTGATGAGGAAAAATTAGATTTCAGTACTTTTACATTCACTCGCAAAAGCATTGAATTTCCCGCTAAGAGTTCTGCTCTTTCAATCCTCCCTAAAAATTGGTTTACACTTACTAAACATTCCCCAAAGCACTGTTTGAGGTTTCATTAAGAAAATCCTCATGATTGCATGAAAAACATTTACTTTCCAGCAAAAATAGGTTTTGTTTACTCATAAAACTTTTGCTTTCGCTCATTAAATTTTAACAAAACCGTTAACATTTTCCCTGGAAATCTTCGATTTTCTCTCTTAAGACACTTCGCTTGCCAAACATTCATTCTCAATGTTCATTCTCAAAAAGTATTGCATGTAGAAACACTGCACTCACTTCCAGTGGACAAAAAATGCATATATTTCTTTGCAAATACTCACAAATATAGGCAATTCAAAAAGAGTTTCTATTTGCTCACAAAACATTAACAATCTTTTAGAAAAGCATCGTTCTCCAAAAGCTTTGTGTTCGCTTTCGCTTTTTTTTAAAAAGCATCAGCTTTTTTACACAAACACCTTCTGCAAGGAATGCTGCCTTTTTTTTCTTTTCTTTTTTTTTTTTACAAAACATTTAATAATATTTAATTGCATTGAGAACCTTAGTCCTGACTTTGTTCTCTCTCAAAAGAAGTAAATGTTTCTCAGAAAGAGTTTCTATTTGCTTGTAAAACATAAGCGTTCTCTTGGAAAAAATCATTGTTCCAAAAATGAGCGTTTTTCTTTTAGAAATGCATAACACCTAAAAATTGTTAGTAAAACATTTGTGTTGAGCTGGAAAATTATTGCTATTTATACAAAAATATCACAGTAGTTTTCCTCTTATTTCATGATATTTATTTCATGACACAAACTTTTTGTGAATTATTAATGTTGAACTTTTTTTGTCTTGTTTTTATTTTATATAACATAAACTAGCAAAAAAAATGTTTGCTCAAAGACACTCGCGTTATCGCAACATTTGTGTTTTTTTGGAAAAGTATTGCGTTCCCCCAAAACAACAAAAAAAATTGGCATTTACTCATGGTTGTTTTCCCAACAAATTTCGCGTCTGCCCACCAAACATAAGTGTTTTTTTCTTTTGGAAAAGCAATGCATACCACCTAAAATTGTGTTTGTTAGTAAAACATTTGTGTTGAGCTGGAAAATCATTGCTATTCATAAAGAAAATCACAATAGTTTTCCTCACTTCATCATATTGTTATTACAATATTTTTCCAAACTATTAATGTTTATTAATTAGTTATTAATTAATTAATTAGCTTTTATTTGCGAGCGAAAACAAAGTGTGTTTTTTCTTAAAAATATAAACTAACAAACATTTTTACACAAAGGCACTCGCTCTATTTTTCCCTCAGTTGCATTTCCCCAAAAAACTTTGTGTCTGCCCACCAAAAATGTGCATTTAGCAAAAAAAAAATTCGCCTAAAAATTGTGTTTTCTAGTAAAACAGTTTTGTTCAGCTGGAAAGTATTGTGTTTTATAAAGAAATGCCACATTTTCCTTCCACCTCATAATATTTTCATAACAGATGTTTGCGAGTGAAATCAATGCACTGAAATCAAATCTTTCCACTAATCTCAATTTTCCTTTCTCAACACCATGTTCTCCAGGGGCTCCATACAGAACCGCAACAGTGTGTTTAAAAGCAGTTGGATGTAGGATTTCTTCTAGCGAAATGTCTTGAACAGGTGAAGTATTTAGATTTATTTGTTTTTTTTTGCAGTGATTGTTCATAACTGTGCAATTTTGATACACTTGTGTAGTTTGGTTAGACTATGCCTAGAACTGTGATTCGCTTTAACTGTTATTGATGTCCGACATGGAACGTCCTGTGAACACATTCGCACATTTACAGTATGCTAGATCCTAAACCCACGACACAGAACCAAAGAGCAGGCCGAGTCTAAACGACCAAGAACAACACTACACAAATGCAGATTTACGTACTGTGTCTGAGCGTTGACTCAACTGGGAGAGAAACACAAGCGAACACTGGCTCCAAGTTTTACGATACAGCGGGCGGAATTAACTCACCGCTACATTTATATCCAGATTATATCCTGCGAAGCTTGAAGTAGAATCATGACCTGCTAAAGTCAATGGTGGACATTTTAAATCTCGATTCAGAAAGATAGAGAGGGTGGAGAGGAGGAAACGTTTAGTTCGTCAAGGAAAAAACGACAAGCGCGAACACTACTTTTGTACCGACGGAGAGAAGTGAGGTGAATTCTGGGTGTCGATTTTTAGTTCCCTGCCCAGATTTTTCTATGTTTGTTCCTTATGTAGTAGATAATATTTGTTATGCACTACTCTTTATATCTGGATGGTTGAACAGTCAGCATTTTTTCTTTTCGTTTCATTTTTTTAATAGACGAATACGTGTGCTTTCTGACTGACGTAATCTTTTGCAATACCTCAATTTTGAAATAGGAGAGAGATCGATATTTTCTAAGTAAGTTTATTCAGATAAAGACTATATATATATATTAATTTAATTATACTAGAGAGATAAAGAGAAGATTTAACAGATGCTTAATTTTATTTTTGTCATGCTTGTTTGCTTTTAATTTTATTTTTGGAAGAAAAAAAACAAAAGAAAAAGAAAAACAACTGAAGGAAGGAGTTCGAGCTGTATTCTTGTAATATTGTAGGAAGCTGAAGTACTACAGACAACATCACAGTGTTCCATCTGATCGCATTATTGTTTTTAAATATATATATATATATATATATATATATATATATATATATATATATATATATATATATATATATATTTTTATTTATATTCTATAGCATGGGTGTCCAAACTCGGTCCTGGAGGGCTGGTGTCCTGTATATAATGCAGCTTTAACTTCATTTAACACACTTGACTGGAAGTTTCTAGTATACCTAGAACATAGGTCTCAAACTCAATTCCTGGAGGGCCGCAGCTCTGCAGTTTTGCTCCAATTCTAATCAAACACAGCTGATCTAGTAGTCTTGAACGCCTTGATTTCTTGGATCCGCTGTATTTGATTAGGGTTAGAGCAAAACTGTGCAGAGCTGCGGCCCTACAGGAATCCAGTTGGAGACCTACCTGTGACCTAGAAAGAGCTTGATTAGCTGGTTCAGCTCTGTAAATTGAGGTTGGAACTATAATATGCAGGACATCAGCCCTGCAGGACTGTGTTTGGACACCCCTGTTCTATAGGGTCAATGGGCCGTCAGGTGCTTATAAAGTCAACTGAACATACTACTTACTTACGTTTTTATATACTTACAATCAGTCCTATATGCTGAGGAGAGTCGTGAAATCTTCTGTTCGTTATTTTTTATGGTTTTCGTCAAATGAATTGTTCCCCTTTGTTTTATAAAGCGCGCACACACACACCCACCCAAATTTGTAAATCTAGTTTAGGGAAGATAAAAAAAAAAATTCGACAAAATAAGAGCTCATTTCTATGGAGGACGAAACCTGAAAACATAATAAATAAATACGCAAATATATAAGTAATTGAGTTAACAAATCTATAAATTCCTGCATAAATGAAAAAAATCATAAATAAATCCATATATTATCTGCATAAATATTACAATAAATAAATAAATATGTATGCAAATAAATAAATGCATAAATTACTTCATAAATAAAACAATAAATAAATAAATAAATAAATGAGTAAATAAATCCATAAATAATGCATAAATAAAACAATAAATAAATCTATAAATCCCTGCAAAAGTAAAACAATAAATAAATAAACAAATGAATAAATAAATAATTCCATAAATTACTGCATACATAAATAAATATACAAATAAATAAATAAATAAATGAGTAAATAAATCCACAAATTTCTGCATGCATAAATATAAAAATAAATAATAGTTTGGGCAGGTAAATAATAAAATAAATCACTCAAATGTCGGGGGAAATAGAAAATGTTAAACTTTAAGATTATTTTTTTTCCTTCTTCTGTATTTACTTTTCCTCAGCTCAACATGTAATGAGAGGCTGTCTATCAGTCATCAGAAGCCAGTAAAAAAACGAATGCAAATTTTCAAACAATCGACCAATGATGGCATGAAGACCGCCTTCTGATGATTGACAGACAGCCTGTCGTTAGCATATTGAGCTGAGGAGAAGTAAATGCGCAACTACAGTACATTCAAGAATAAAGAAGCGTTTGAAAGGGTTGTTGCTAGATCAGGTACGGTCACGGCCAAATGTTAACAAAGTATTATATTACATTTGATTAAATTTCCCATTATTGTATTTTATTAACGTCTACTCCCACCCTAACCCTAAACCCAGCCGTAAAAACAGTAGCTGTACTGAGTATGATTTATGTTATCTAGTAAATTACCCAATAAACTGTATTTTTGAACATCTACCCCTACTACAACCCTAAACCCAACCGTCTCAGTACTGTAAAATCAGTAAGTTGTGCTGAGTATTATTTATGTTGTTTATTAAATTACCCAATAAACTGTATTTTTTAACATCTACCCCTACTACAACCCTAAACCCAGCCGTCACAGTAACATAAAAATATGAATTATTGTAATACAGTGTCGAAAAAATGCTGCTATATTGATGTGCATATCACACTTTTAGACTATTTGTTTAGCATTTATTTAATTATGTACCACCCTGCACTAGTAATTATTTATATATTTATGCAGGAATTTGAGGATTTTTATATTTATTTATTTATTATTTTATTTATGCAGAAATGCATGTATTTTTTCGCTGATTTATTTATATATTTGCTTATTTATTTGTTTCTGCCAGGTTTCGTCCTCTATACATTTCGGGAAGCTAGAAATAAAGATATGAAGCGTTTATTGCGGAGGCCTTTACTCACTCGAGACTTGAATCAGTCCCTTTTTTATTTTTATTATTACGAGTTTGGATTGTTTGTCGTAATGTGCAATACTGTTTGTACTGTTTGTAAAAAAGAAAAACATAAAAAAATTAATAGGCATACATCTTTCTTGCAGATTTATTTTCATCGCGAGCATCACTCTAATCATTTTCTACTGTGTATTTACTCGACGTGCTAGTGTACCTTCCAGTAGTAATGTAGCCTTTGTACTGAGAAAATTTTTCATTATTTTTTAGAGATTTTTTGCAACGAATTAAATAAAAAAAAAAGACGATTAAAACATATTTTCCTTTTTTATTATTTTAATTTGTGTTTTCTTATTCCTCAAGCATTAATGTTAGCTAGCTATTTCTTGGGGGGAGACTTTCATATCTGGTCAATGTCGTTAATGTTGTTATTATTTTGTATTTTTACTTGGAATAAATTAATTTTTTGCCGCTTTTTTCTTTTTTTTTAAGCTGAAAACTTTGTAATGTTGTTACTAAAATGTCTAGATTTTTAAAAATGCAAAGCTTAACTGCTTACACACACATGATTGGTAATATAATGTGATTAAATCAGTGAATGGGCAATAAAACTAATGACAGAATGGAGCAAAATGTGAGGTTGTGGTGAAACCCAGGCAAGATTACCTACTAAGCTCAGATATTCAGTTCAATTCATGTTTATTTCTACAGCACTTTTACAATGTAGGTTGTATCACAGCAGCTCAACATAGAACTTCTAGTAAGTTGAAACTGTGTCAGTCCAGTTTTCAGTGTTGAAGTTCAGTTCAGTTTAGCTCAGTTCAGTGTGGTCTAATTTCCACTGCTGAAAATCCAAACATTGAATAGCAGATCCATCTATGCGCAGCTCCACAGTCCCAAACCATGCAAGCCAGTGGTGACGGTGACGAGGAACAAACTTCACCAATTGATGAAAGTGAAAGAAAAAAAATTAAAACTCGAGAGAAACCAGGCTCAGTTGAGGACGACCATTTCTCATACAACTACAAGATATCCTGATATCAACTGATTGCATTTTATTTCTGCAACCTCAAACATACTAGTCTTCAGATTGTCCTCTGTTGCAAGTCTTCAATAAGCTGAATTTCTCAATTATTATCTCTATTATAGTCATGTTGGCTCGTGGTTTTTCCCGTCTACCCCACTTTCAGCTCCATTTGTCATTTGCATTTCCCCGCTCCAGTGAGGTTTAACTTTTCATTTCTGTATTTGACGTCTGGTTCCACCTTCGCAAGGCTTTGAGATTGTTAACTTGGACCTCTGCTTGTCTAACTTTGCAGTAAAACTGTGATTAAATGACTGCTTTTGTTGTTGTTTTGGATAAAATAAGCAGTGCTGCTAACGCTTACCGGCTTTTCTCACCTTCACGGTTTTTATTTGATTTTCTCTTTTCTGTACTAAACAGCAAATCTGATTAAATGTAATTGTATGACACTGTGAAACTCTCATCTTTTGCGGAGTCTCCTTCTCTTCTTGTAAACTCTTCTGGATGCATAAATATATATATATATATATATATAAATATATATATATATATATATATATATATATATAAATATATATAAATATATAAATATATATATAAATATATATATAAATATATATTTAAAAACAATATATTACTAACTATAAATGACTATAGTAATTAATGTGGGAAATCATTAATAAAAAAGGTTTATAGAAAATTAAATAAAAATATTAAATTACTTGAGTAAACTATTAATATAGTATTATACATTTATTACATGTAAAATATTTTTATTACATATAAACATGTATTATTGCCTATATTAACTTGCTGTTATTTCCTTCATTATAAATGAATCCATTATATAAACCTGTCTAATTTAGATCGTTCAGCAAGGCAGTATCTGCTATACTGACTCTGTCAGATGATAATGACTGATCATCTATGATGACTGATAGAAAGCTGTTCAGTCTATTATACTGAATGGTGATTGGAAACAATGCTTCCCATTCGCCCGTCTCGATTGCAATATTTGTGAAATAGTAAACACTATTGTGTATTGTGTACAATATTTATTAACAATACATATAAATTATATTGAGGGCGATGTCTGAAAAGACGTTAATAACATTAACATCCGTTGTAACCATATGGTTTGGCTAGATCGTGTGTGTGCTGGATTGTGTGTGCCTAAAACGTGTGTGGTTCTGCAGTTCAGCGGTTAGTTCCAAATTTTAGCTTTTAAGTGAAGAAAAAGTAAATTATTGTAGTGTTTTTCCTTATTACAAATTGTTTCACATTTCATGCATCACATTAATGATCAATGTACAGGTTATTCAGTGCAATGATACATCCTTGAGTTTGCAATGTCTGAGTTCATTCATTTATTAATTCTCTTGTCAGCTTAGTCCCTTTATCAATCCGGGGTCGCCACAGCAGCAAATGATTCTTTCAGGAACCTAAAACACAAACAAACTGCCAACTATAATCATCACCTTCTGAACTATTATGAACTCGGAATTACTCTTTAACAGAGATTATATGTGCGGATGAAGATTAAAGATAAAGACGTGAAGTTTGCACTGACTGTGGGCTATATTTTGGGTTGTTTTTGAACTCAAATAAGGACTAAATGTATGCTGCGTGTATATTTTCTGTCATTGGTAACATATCAAAGACTGTAAAGGTCTGTATGTGTTCATATTTGTTGCATTTATTTATTTATTTTATATAATTGCAGACATTACAGCAGGCTATTTTGCCCTATCATTGATCTGTAGTTATAATCAAACATGTTCATAGAAAGGATAGTAATGAACATTTATACACAAGTATTTGTGTGTATAAAGCATCTGTTTTGTGAGAAGTGCTTCACATTTGATACGTGAACGACCTGTACAGCTTTACTGTAGACATTTCCTTGAGTAAGAATGATTTTGACAAACTTTCAGTCGTACCCTTTTGGCAGTGTAAACGCAAGCCTGATAGGGGTGACCCGTACAGAACCATACTGTACCACTCAGAGGAAACGGGCCATAAGTAAACCAATAACAACCAAACCTTATTACTTAAAATAAATATTAAATGTAGTAGTTTTGTTTTTAAATATGTTCTTTATTTCAGCTGCAGGTCTTGCGGTCATTTAATTCATCTTAATGTCCTCTAAAATAACTCAAACTCAAGTAGAGTTATACAAACATTAAAAAAAACTGAAATAAAAATAGTAAAAACTACAATGGCATCATAATTATAGTAAAAAAACAAGCTCATAAACGCAAACCCAGACATTTGTAAAGAGCTCATTAGAATTTATTAAAATTCTACCAGCTTACCAAAAAGGCAAATAACAGAAATATTTACAGTTCTACGCGTTTGTGTGTTTTCCTTTTAAAACTCTTCGTCCTGCCGTTTCTCCAGATCTCAGTCAGTGCACATAAGACTTTAGTCCTGTCTGATCAGCAGCTGCAAGCCCTTCCTAGTAAACCTACAAAGTCAGCAAGCGCCCCCCGGTGGTCTGGATGATCCATCAGAAGCGTTCACGTCTCTTTAATCAATACTGTCATCCCCAACAAGTTCTAGCAAACCCTGAGGTTCAAAAGTTGCATTGGTACAGGATGAGCTGGAGAGCTCGATCCTGTGAGGTTAATAAGAGCTGTAAGACTGGAGTGTTTAGGGGCTGAAGCTCCAGTGTTTTGTGCTGGTCTCTGAAGTCTTTCATTTGAGCGAGTGCATGAAGGTGCCCAGGTCATACTCATTCTCGTACTGCTGCTGGTCCCACAAGTCACCCAGTCCATCCAGAACTGACTTCATACTGGATTTACCGGAGGATGAGGAGGAACCATCACACTTTTCTGCTTTATCATCCTGAAAACACAAACACACCAGCATCAAGCAGAGGGGCTTGTTTTAAAAGAAGATGTGCACTAAACACAGACTGTAGAATACACAAGACGACACTCGTATAGTTTTGAATGGGAAAAAGTGGATTGGTCAATATGGTGAATGAAGCCCCGCCCACTAGTACAGGAGCCAATTATCGATCGCTATAGACCAGGGGTCACCAATCTCTTTCCTGGAGGTCCGGTGTCCCGCAGGGTCTAGCTCTAACTTGCCTCAACACACCTGCCTGGATGTTTCAAGCATACCTAGTAAGACCTTGGAGAGCTTGTTCAGGTGTGTTTGATTAGAGTTGGAGCTAAAATCTGCAGGACACGGGACCTGGTTTGGTGATCCCTGCTATAGACTGACGATTCTATGGCAGAGAAGCTCAGACCACACGTGTTTTTACGACAGTTTGGTGGAGAACAAACGAACTGAAATCTCAGCGAGTACTTGCTTCACAGACATGGGAAACATATCCAAATAAAGTTTGAAATTTGTGTTTTTAAATGAACTAATCTGTATGAAACGAATGTGATGTACAATCCGTCCTGTCAAACACATATCTCATGACAGCAGCAACAAGTCAAATCCACCAAAACCTGTTAACAAAAAGTCTCTGTCATTTCTGGAGGAGATTCACCATCAAGACCAGGTTGTGGATTACTTCAGAAAACCAGTGCGATCTGATAAAGCTTTAACCAGAGGATGATAATGTGTAGAACGGCCATAAAGGAGGTTGGTGTCGTGATCCCGTTCCTTTCGACTGCACATGCTCTTAGGCAACCTGAAAATATGCAGATTTAGTTTGATTCGGACGTTTAGAAACTAAACTTATGAGACTCTCGTTGTTTCATTTTATTGGTGATTAGAAATATGTTATGTAATCGTAAGCTTGGAAAACAGGTTTGGAGAATTTGATGTTTCCCCATTCAGACAGAATGCCCAAGCATACTGCCCGAGAGGCGTTTCAAAGATGTTCGCCAAGTGAAATGACTTGCCTTAAAGGGACTTTGACTAAACTAAGAACACACACAGAAGATTTTAGCCCAGCAAGTATTTTCAGGTTGCCAGATTGACGACCAACAGGAGCGTGTTTTGATCCAGTAATGCAATAAGTTCAACCACAGGGTGTCAAACTTAAACCTTTAATTAAAGCGTTTTGTCAAAATATTCTTAAAATGACAAATTATGCTTTTCTCTTAATAAATAATAAATGTGTATGCAAGTCTTATTAATTATTACCCATTTAGTATGGAGGTTTGAAAGAGTTGTAGCCACAGACAGGAGAGACTGACCTTGTCCAGTGTGAAGAGGTTGAGCAGTTGCTCTGTGCCCATGCTCTGCAGGCTGGCGTTCTCCTGGCTGATCACTGTATTGGCGATGGTCATCTTGAATTTCTGCAGACCCATAATCTTTTCCTCCAGTGTGCCTCGTGTGATCAAACGATATACATTCACCACACGTTTCTGGGGGGGGGGGATAGAGGAATAAATACAAATACAAATAAAAATAGTAATAAAAACAAATAATAATAATAATAATATATATATATATATATATATATATATATATATATATATATATATATATATATATATATATATATATATATATATATATATTATTTTTTTATTCTGTTCTGTAAGGATTTGTTTAGTTGTAGTTTGAAATGTTCGCTTAGAAAATGCTGTCTTTCTCCCCTAAAGACTTAGTCTGCCACAAGATTGCAACAGAGACTGCATAATGTCAACCGTCTTTACTCTGCTCAGTATGATAGGCTGATAGCCGTTGATGTGCTAAATTTCCGAAACTAAGAACATTTAAAATAGGCACTATCCTTCGAAATAAACTGCATAGTTGCAATCTAAATTACATTCTCGCCTGAAAAGCCTTAAAAGTTCATTATGTTGTCCAACAGCTGCAATATTTGTCAAACTGTAGTCCTCTGCTTGCCACTCGTGTGGGCGTAGTAGCCAATATTATTATTTTTTTCTAAATTTGTATCAGCCCACTTTTTTTTGCTTTTACCAATTCTCAGTAACAAAAATTATATTTTTATAATATATAAATATAATATATTAGTTGATAGAGGAAAAAAAAAACATTGGCTGATACAGATTTTAATTTGATAACTTATGTAATTATAAGATAATAATTATGAATAATCATTGTAACAGCCTAGGGCTGGGCCTATAAACAATATTATATCGAATCGCGATAAAATGTCATCAACATTAATAAGCTCTGGGTCTTAGATCAATAAAGAGTGAAAAAAGTCCAATCACACAGCAGGAATGTGCAATAATGGGAATCTAAAAGTGTGTTGATATTAAAAATGTACCAAATTTTGGCCCATGGCCCATTGGAAAATGTATCGGTCGACACTGATGTTTAACGGGCCCTCTAATTTTTGTGGCTTCAGTCATTATTGGGGTATTCTTTTAAATCTGGAAGTATTAACAACTTCATTTAATATGGAAAACAATTATTGAGAAAGCATTTTTGCCATGTCGCCCAGCCCTACAACAGCCCCCCAAAGAAGCCAAGAAAGCCCAATAATTAATGCTTTATTGTTGCGATTTAAAAATACATATAATATTGGTAGATAACGATATTCTATGAAAGAAAAAACATGTTGGCTAATACAAAAACAATAATAATACTGGCTAAAAATAATATTACTGATAGCTGATTTATAAATAAAACCAATATTCAATAATTAAAAAAAATATTATAAATCAATTAATTTTTGATGATTTGATTTCTATTAATTAATATATATCAATTTTTTTTATTTAAATCAATTGCTTTAGAAATAAATCCTCAAGATTAAATAATTAAAAACCTCCTCTGCACCTGTCCTATTCTGTGAGCTCTGTCCATGGCCTGCAGGTCCCTCATGGGGTTCCAGTCGTGCTCCACAAACACCACAGTATCCGCACCAGTCAGATTTAAGCCAAGTCCACCCACATGTGTAGTAAGCAGCAGAACGTCTATGGACGGGTCATTATTGAACCTGCAGACAAACAAACAAACTTCCCATATAGTGACCCAAATAGAGTTGTCAATGCTATAAAAAGGATAGTTCACCCAAAACTGAAGATTTTCTCACCCTTTACACGTTTCAAACCTTTGTGAGTTCATTTCTTCTGTTAAACAAAAAAAAAAAAACCTGTAATCATCGACTTCCATAGTATGTTTTTCCTAGTATGGAAGTCAATGGTTACAGGTTTTCAGCTTTCTTCAACACTATCTTCCTAATGTTTAAAAGAATACATTTTCATTTTTGGGTGAACTCTCTCTTTAAGATTACTGTATGGGTATCAGAGATCTCTGACCTGGAGACTATGGAGTGTCTGAGTCCGGCCTGAACGCTACCGTCCAGCCTGAGGTATGTGACGCCGGGCAGCTGTGGTTTGAGGAGGTCCTGCTCCACAATGTCCAGCATGCTCTTCAGCTGACAGAAGATGAGCACACGGTGCTGAGCCACGACTGCTTCTGTGCCGCTGTCAGATGCCCCGGCAGAACCCAGACCACAGTCCAACAGCAGCTACAACACAACAAAACACACTGTCAGTTCTGGACTGTTCAGATTTCACATTTATTGATGATTATTATTAATATTAGTTCAAGGACTAAACAATAAATAAAAACAATTATTTCTAATTAACTATCAGACTGGCTAATATTGAATGCAATCAAATAAATAAATAAATGTAATATAAAAAACATTGGCTAATATAGAATAAAAATAAAAAAAACAGCAAATTGATCATGAAAAAAACAAACAAATAAAAAACAGGTTGATACTGATTAAAAAAAAAAAAAAAAAAAAAAATACAGGTTGATGTATACTAAATGAAATAAATTGATCAAAACATATTGGCTGACATTTGCTAATATTCATTAATTTTTTTTTTGACTTGGTCCCTTTAATCTGGGGTCGCCACAGCAGAATGAACCACTTACTAAGCCAGCATGTTTTATGCAACGGATGCCCTTTTTTTAAAGCTAAATCATAATTATTGACAGATATCTGATAATTTTTTAAAGCTGAAAACAATTTATTAAGGATTTTACAAAAAAACTTTGCTTTTTTTCAAATTATTGATAATTTTCAGATTTCCTTTTCAAAAGCCTATTGTGTGGTTACATAAATAATCTAAATCTTACTAATCAATTTAAATATCTAATTTTGCTGATATTTTAACCAACATTGACAAATATTGAAATAATTGAAAATGACTTGCTGATATTAAAAGTAATATTGACTGAAATTGGTAAATAGAAATGTCTAACAGCATCTATTTATAAAAATAAATTATTAATTTGTGTAATTTAAATCTTTAAGTGATTTCATTTGGCTGATGATGATTAAAAAAAAGACCTAATTTTGGCTAATATTAAAAATATTTAAGAAAAAAAACATACATGTAGCTGATTAAAATAAATAAATACTGCTACTATAGCCAAACCATCTGCAACTATTTTTTAAAAGTAGAAACCCTAATGTTAGTCCAATGACTGCCCTGAGCTTACAGTCAGAAACTGATCGATATAGCAGTCAGAATGATGGTTATTTCTCCCTTGTGACAGCAGTGCTGTGTTAGTCACCTGTTTGAGGGCTGAGAGTTTGGGAGCGTGCTGGATGTCTCTGAGACTGGAGTGCTGAGTGCTCAGCTGCTCTGTGATGTGCTTATATTCGGGGTGTTGAGGAGTCAGAACCAGTGCAGGATGATTACACAGCTTCCTCAGATACTGCAGAGCCTGAAACAACGGATAAACAAAACAGCATTACAGACTGTGTGACTAAACGAGGGCAGGAATATCCTTCGGTTTAATGACTGCTCCTGGGACAAACCTGGAAGACGTGTCCAGTGGCCTTGAGTTTGGGCTTCTCTTCATCCTCTTGTGTAGACGCTGTAGAAATCACGTCATCCACGTTCACCTTCGCGCGAGATTTTGCAAAGTCTTCATACAGTTGAACCTGAGCAGACACAGGGGAGCGATTCAGGGTTTCCGCTCTAAACCAAATCGCCGCAAAACGTCTGATTTTCCCGATTAAAAATATAATGAATAGAAAGCTGTTGTGTCCGCTCCAGAAATATTGTGATTTTGCGATCACTGAATCTAATAGAAAATTAAGCAGACACCACAACATTCAGAGGAAATCTTTTTAAATGATCATTGCTGGCCAAAGGATCTTCCTGCTCATCTTCCTCATGCGCCATCTGCACTGTTTTATATTAAATAACATTGTGTTTGTGTATAGAAAGTGCTCATCAAGTGTGTGATAACTTGAAATGTCAAAGACGGCACATATGAATCACATTAAACAAGTCATGTGACATTAACGTTTGTAGGTTTGAATCATGCACATTGTGATAATGACATAAGTTAACGGACCATGACTTCACAATACATAAGGAGTAAAGATCATAGACATAAAATTATAGACAAATAATCGTCCATTAAGCATGGGCATCTCTGCTTTACTGTAATGCTACTAAGTGTTACTATGAAAGCTAAACACAAAGACTGTTATCATTATTTCACAGAGCACATGTGTGTTTTTGTACCTGTAGAGGACTGAGGTTGCAGTAGTAATCCTGTATGATCTTGGGTGGCAGATCTTGAAGCACATCATCCTTCATTCTCCTCAGTAAGAAGGGCAGAACTTGTCTATGCAATGCCTCCATTGCCAGCACGCCTGAAAAACATTATTATAACCTCAAGACGACTTAGATGATCAAGATGATTAGGAATTTAAATAACATTTCATAAATCACAAGTCAACATGGTTTTCTGATCAGAGGCAGTTGAAAGAGCTTTAGATCAGATTGCTTTAAAGGTCCAGTAAAGTACGTTGTTTATGCACACGTTTGTGCATATTTTTGTATTTTATGTGCATATTTTTGTTTATTCAATGTTTGACAATTTCAACTCAAACATAAAAAGCATGGGACAGAATATCTCCTCCCCTTTAAAAAAACAAAAAAATCAATAGCCTTTTTGTTTTATCACAGCTCTGCCAGTGAGAGTGGTTAAGCCTAAGCACATCAAATGAAAAGCAAATGAGAATCCTCTTAAAGAGATGGTCAAGATTTGATAAGAAAATGAAGTATGAGGATGTGAAAAAAATTGTTGATTCATTTAGGCCAGGGGTGTCCAAACTCGGTCCTGGAGGGCCGGTGTCCTGGAGCGTTTAGCTCCAACCATAATCAAACACACCTGTACCAGCTAATTAAGCTCTTACTAGATATACTAGAAACTTCCTGTCAGGTGTGTTGAAGCAAGTTGCAGCTAAACTCAGCACAGGCCCTCCAGTAGCAAGTTTGGACACCCCTGATTTAGGCAAACTTCAAACTTTAGATGTGAATGGTCACTGTTTCTAGCTTATAGATATTCTTAAACATCTAAACATCACTTGCTTAATGAACAATTCAGTTTTCATTGATTTCACAGAGTCGCCAATCTGAAAGCCCTTTCATCGATGATTAACAACATCACATGCTAAATTGGGCAAACTTCCTCTGACTTAAACCTGACTGGAAGCGACGTGTGAGAAAACGCCAAACACACTAGTCTGACACACTTTCTGAGGGCCCGAAACTGCCTGACCTCCAACTTGGTGTTTTCCAGCCTTAATACTAGGTGGAGATATGGCCTAAAGTGTTCAACAACAGCCTCAGATTCAGAAGTATGTGATGCTAGAATAAGACAGAGAGATGTTGAAATTCATACCTGCTTCCTGTTCACGTGAGGAACTTTTAGCATCTCGACTGGCGAGGATGGGCTTCCCATAGCGAGCAGCAAACTGACGCTCGGTACCAAGAAAGCCTGGCATCAGGAAGTCAAAAAGAGACCACAACTCCAGAACATTGTTCTAAAGAGACAAAAACAAACAGAAAAAAACTAAAACAAACAGCCATTAAACGGCAAAAATCTAAAGTCACTATTTTGAAGTTTGAATCAGAATTGATCAAAATTAACAGTAAAGACACTTATAATTTTACACTTATAATTCTATTATTGTTTAATAAATGCTATTCTTAATTACTTGTTCTTAGTGATTCTTAAATATTAATCTTCAATTAAAAATGCCAGTGGAAAAACAAAACATTATACACTTAAAAAGATGTTTATTATAAATTACTATAATTTTTCCCCATGCAAATATCTTCCAGGCATCACAAAATAATGATGAAAGCATAAATAATAATGTAGACTACGTGTCTATGCTTTTGTATTTATTTCTGTAAGGAAAAGTGCTCCACAATAATAAGTCTAGTTTTGTTGCAGGGGTTGCATTTCTTTTTTGTTTGGTCGACAAACTTGCTGCGCATCTCAATGTTAACTTTACGGTTGTTTATTCTATCAAAACGCTTTAAGCATGGATTATTGCAAAACAAGAACGACATTTCATTGCAGTGATTACATGGCAGAGTAAATTATTGGGTCCCACTTTATATTAAGTGGCCTTAACTAATATGTACTTACATAGGTATTAATAGTTTGTTACAATGTACATATTGTGTAAATACATGTATTTACTGTGTACTTACGCTTGATTAAATACATGTATGTAGTTACATCTGTAGTTAACTTTTGTAATTACATTTGTAAATACACTGTTGACCATCCCTTACACCTTAACCCACCCTTAAACCTACCCATGCCACCAAACCTGTCCATAACCCAACCTCTATCCCAACTCAAAAGCACCACAAGTGTTCTCAAATACATTATAAACACAGTAAGTACATTGTATTTATTTTTTGATGTAAGTACATAGTAGTTAAGGACACTTAATATAAAGTGGGACCAATTATTGATATTCTCCTGGATTTTGTATAAGTGTGGTGGTGTTTGTGTCTGATTTTTATATAACACATTCACATATTTATACACATAGCTAGGCCTGTATATAATCTTGACTGGTGCTGTTAAACTAATTATCAAAAAAAAAAAGCTTGTACACATGGATGTCACATGGATATTTTTGTTTTTCAGCCAGTTTCCTATAGTCTATAGTCAGTTTCCTAAGTCTATTAAAGCTGTTTGGCATTTATTATTTTGGCTGATTTAAACAATTATAAACAACAGAAAACAAACATTTTGATGTTCTGATAGCAATTCCTATTTAGAATAATCACTTCCTGCCCTCCATCTGAATTTTGTGTGTCATCAATGACGTCATGTGAAAACAACCTATAGTTTGTGGAAGAGTTGATTAACTCAGAGCTGCGTGCACCTCTGAAAGGATGTAGTGCACTTAGACACGCCGTCTACTCTGTGTCTCAGCCTTCCCTAAAGCACAGCTATTTGCTCAATAAAATCCATTTTAGCCATTTAGCAATAAAATTAAAGTCACCAAGGCAGACAGAAGCCCTGCCCATGAAGTAAATCCGCATCTACTGTGAAGTAAATTTGATGCGCAAAAAAAAAAAAGCGAATTTGATGCACAAATGAAGCGAGAAAACCCAAAACGCTCACACATCTTTTTGCATGCAAATAGCGCGATTTATTCACATAAGACGCATCGTGTGTGAACGGCCCTTAAGTGTTTAAGATAGAGCAAAATCGTTATAAAGATATACAATTTTTTTGATCGCAAACTAGGGCTAGGCGACATGGCAATAATGCAATCTCAATAATTATTTTCCATATTGAACGATGACGATATAAATTTTTATATAAGCGGTTAATGCTTCCAGATTAAAAAAAAAAAAAAAAAAAAAAAAAAAAAAGAGTTCCTCCACAATGGCTGAAGCCACAAAAACTAGAGGGTCCATTAAATGGCAAAACATATTTTCGGCCGATAAATTTTCAGTGGCCGAAAATGTGGTACATCTCAAATATAAACACACTTTCAGATTCCCATTGTTGCACATTTCTGCTGTGTGATTGGCTCTTAGATTAAATAGAGCAAAAATGTCTAGAGCTTGTCACTGTTGTCACTGTACTCAACTTAAATTTTATTGTGATTTGATATAATATTGTTTATCAGCCCAGCCCTAACCCAAACTGCTGAACAGCAGCACACTAAGGCTCAAACTCACCTGGATGGGCGTTCCTGAGAGAATCAATCTGTAGTTGGCAGTTAACTGCTTTATCGCTTTGGAGAGTTTGGTCTTTCCGTTCTTAATAACGTGACCCTCGTCAAGGATACAGTAATTAAATTTAATATCCCTGTACAGAAGAAACAGCATTAAAACATTAAACACTTTACCATCTCTCCACTGTATATACACAGTCTATAAATGATGAACACAAATAACTTGTTACCTGAAAAATTCGACATCATTCCTAACGACATCATATGAGGCAACAATAAGATTGTGTTTTTTCACCTGGTGCTGCAACCTGCACAGGACCAGACATGCATTTGCAATCCATTTTTTAGCTCATCACAATAAATGAATGCACCTTTAAAAAAATCATTTCTTCAGATCATACCGTGCTCGTTCAGTGGGAGGGCCAGTATAATGCAGAGGATTAAGAAACTCTTTAGAGCAGAACTTGCCGACCTCATCCACCCAGTGGCCCGTCAGGGTGGGCGGACACACCACTATGGAGGGCAAAGGGCAAGAGTCGGGGGCTTTTGTCCTGGTGTATTCCTGAGCTCTGCGCATATCATTCAGAAGGTCAAAAAATAAGTTTATAATCTATAATGCACTATAAATGCAGCTACTTTGTGACGTACCTGAGGAAATGATCACCAGCCAGAATACAGATGGACTGCAGGGTTTTACCCAGACCCATGTCATCACACAAAATCCCATGGAGCTTGTACTTGTTCAAAAACGCCAGCCAGTTCACACCATCCTGCAAAAAAACGATCAGAATGACTCTTAAAGCTGCATGAAAACAGAAACTGCAATAGTATTTTCCCCCACCATGACATGCATCTGGATTCAAACACTTCTACATAAAAAAATAAAAGAATAATACTAAAATAACTTAATTTTACTTTTTAAATTAGTATTAGTTAAACTGCTATTGGTGGATCTCATGTGAGTGACATGTCAAATCAGATGTCTGTTCTCTGACAACGGGCTGGTTCAACATGTGCTGTATATTTCCACTGAGCAGTACAATACAGTATGGTTTGGTACAGGTCACCCAGATCAGTCTTGCATTTCCACTGCCAAAAGTACCCTTTTTTCGTTGGTCTGGTGCATGCCAGAAAGTTGCAATCAATGTCACTGTTGCTTGAAGAAGAAAGCTGTCCTGGCCATTAACATATGCAGTCTTTTGCACACTCAAGTTCATTATTTAAAGTGTACTAGTGTGCGATCTGAACAAGAGGTCATACAGCAGATCATGCTCTGATTTCTTGGCTGTTTGTCACAAGAATCAAGCTTTGTTTGAGTATGGTGTACTGATGTGTAATGTCATTGTATTGTTACACTGTTGTGTTTAAAAATGGCGCTTCCTGTGTTGTCTTTCCCCTGGCTTGTATCACACAGAAGTGATATTTCTAATGTAAACTAATAGCAATTAGCAGCAAGTTTAGCTCCACCTTTTTGCTACCATACTGTTGTGCAGTAAAAAAAAAAAAAGTGGTACTGTACAGTTCATGATTTACATACTTCTGACAGTGAAAATGAAAAAAAAATGCAAACAGCTTGGCTTTCCAATAAAAAAAAACAAAAAAAAACTACTTTATATTATCATTAATAGCTGGATGGTTGCGCTTTGTTATTGGTTAATCTCATGTAAGTGACAGACTGATCCCTAAACACACATTACCTTCATTGTTTTGCCAGTGTCCATAAAAAACAAAACAAAAGATGCACTCACTCTCTCACAATCCTTTGGATTAGTACCTGATTATCAGGGATCGCCACAGTGGAATGAACTGCCAGCACAGATTAAAAGTCTTGCAATTCTTTCAAACTACAGTATTTCTAGACACTCAGGCTCATTTCATTCATAAAAAGGTCTGGCAAAAAAAAACATTTCCTATAGATTGTGAAAAGCAAACACACCTGCTGGTATTTCCTGAGCTCTGCTTTGATGGGTACAGGAATCTTGTAATTTTCCAGTTTTCTTCCATCCAGCAGCTGCTCAAGAAAGTGTCGTTCTCTGGCCTTCTGCCGAATCAGATCTTCAGACATCGATGGTGGGTCTGGGATTCCAGCCTGAAATTACAAGAGAGAAAAAAAATTCAAGTGGAAAGATTTTTTGTTGTGTAATGCCTGTGCTGCCAAATGATGAGCTTTATCTGCACCATAATAAGAACAGAAATGTCTCAAACATCCCAAACCTCTTTCTTCATTTGAAAACTATGAAAAGCATGAATGTTGGATTATGCTCATTACTGAATACTCACCTCGAGAGGAAGCAGTCGAATCAGAGTAGCAAAGCACTGTGTGGCCATGAAGCGCACGCTGTCACAGGGGTCACTCATACGACCCAACACTGGGACCACCAGCAGCACGATGTAGGGCACAATATCAACATCCAACTGCTCCATTACACCTGGACTCTGAGCTCAGGGATAACATATATGTGCTGAAGGCCAGTATTCACCAGTCACAGGTTTACACACAACTAATATTCAAAATGTACGATTTAGGTCTTAGGTCTACAAGACTAGAAATACTTGATGTGGCATACAATAACATTAAAATACCTAGCCAATTGTAATACATATAATAGAAATGTTATTCTATAATTGGCGATGCTGAAAATTCTTATTATTATTATTAATTCTATTATTATTATTAATGATGGAAAACATCCATGCTGCTAAATATTTTTGAATTACATTTTTGTAAGTAATATTTTTAGGTTTTTTCTATTATTAAAGGTTTCCTTGCAGATCCAAAACTATAATTTGAACAATTCTGGATAAAATGACAACCAGTTTCTTTAATTTTCTTTCTTTCTTTTTATAAATCAAGACTCATTCATAATTCTGACAAGACAACTTGAAATAACAAAAGATACATAACAGAAATGTAACTATATAAATGGCAATGCTGAAAATTATAATTATTGTGGAAAACAGTGCTGCTGAATATTACTTGAATTGCATTTTTGTGAATAATATTTTAATGTTTTTTTTTTTACCATTAAATACTTCCTTGCAGAACCAAAGCTATAATTTGAACAATTCTAGATAAACTGACAACCAGTTTCATTTATTTTTAAATGAAAATCAACTCACCCATGATTCTGACATCAAGTTACTTAAAATAACAATAATAATAATAATTTGCTGACATTTACAGCATATTATTTGGTACAATAAATACAATGTTTCCTCTAGGATTTTCTCCATCTTTTTACACAGATCTACCAACTACCTGTGGCGTTATTTCAATGACAAATGTCTTGAGTGCAGTATTACAGGTCGAGATCGCATTTATGTAATAGCCTGCCCTACAGCATGCGAATCTCTTTGCTCGTGCGCCGATGGGGGATTTGCTCGTGCACAAAACTTTTTGCACACACCCTCAAATATACGCTGCTCAAGGGCAGATCTTCTTGTGCGCTCTCAAATAAACGCTGCTAAAGTGTGATTTAGTGCGTTTATGTAACGAGTATGTCTCCAACATTTATTAGATTTGCTGGGAATATTTATGAATGTCTCCAATAGACCTACAGAGTGATATTTATGCGCCCTGAAGTAAAGTGAAACGGCTATACGTCGTGTTTGCTGCCCTCACACATCACGCACCAGTCAGCCTGTCAGTCAGTCAGCACGTAACCTTGAAGGGTTAAACGAATGACGCACAACACTACTACGGTTACAGAAAAGTTGGCTCTGTTATAATTCACTTACCTTTTAATACGTTTTGGTGCGATTATCACCCACTATTAAAAAAAACAACAACAGGACTGAATGTTTGAATGAAAAGCTGTAATGTAGCCGTGGCGGGATCAATTTTGGCGAATTAATGTAGCGGAAAGAATGAAATATATTAAATTATATATGCATATAATATTTTAAAGCTCAGTTTAAATGAATGATTTTATACCTAACCCAAAGGCATTACTGAAGAATCTCTTGAGGTATGAAGAATGATTTCTTGTCCCTAACTATTAACAATGTTATTGCTTCAAGCTTGATCTGAAGTGCCAAGCTGCTTTCAAAAGGTGATTTTAAGCTTTACAATAAACATTAGATTTTACATCCAAACTATAAATCCTGTAACGCATCAAACACAATCTGACAAACTAAATGAAATAATAACACTGTCTGAAAAGACTAAAGACTCTTTCATTATTATTTCATATCCATTTCGTATCAAATGCAAGATATGAACGTACCACCGTGATTGATGAGTTTTAATAAACATGCAAATCTCTAGCGTTTGACTTAAGATCATGAATTTGTTTTGGTAACCAGGGATTCCCAAACTTTTTTTATTCCGGGACCCACCTAGGCAAGTAATTCAATCTCAAGACTCACCATAATATTTTAATATGAAAAAATGGGTAAAAAAATGTATCCATTCAAAGCAGTCAAAAATATATGGTGTGTGGCTTTTTGGGTTTTGCGATTTGAAATGCACAAAATGAGGCTCAGAGTGCTTTTTGTGGGATGCTGGCTGTAGCTGTGATCATTTTTTTTTTTTTTTTTTGAAAAAGATACTCTTCTTTTTTTTAGAAGAGAATATAATCAACCTTTGATCAAGCCTCTTGATTATAATCAAGCCTCGTCACATCGCAGTAAATTCCACTGCAAGTGTTTAGTCATAAGAAACTAAATAGCTTTTTGATCGACTACTACAAGCTGGGAAAAGGTCAGATAAATATGCCAATGCAATTAACATTATTGCTGAATTGATCTAATATTTACACTTGAGGAAGGAACGATGGGGGTAGTTACATTACTATTACTAACTTTCCATTACATCTATGCCCTTCCATAACATTAGGTGACGTTAAAACTAACAGAAAGCACTATAGCTATTTATTGATTAGCAATCTGTCAATGTTGGGATGTAAAAAATATTGGACAACAATAGCTTCAAATGATAGAATACATAGCAAACATTAGAAAATATTGACAATAAAATAAAAAGACAAAAAAAAAAAAAAAAAAGACTCATTATTTCATATCCATTTCATATCAAATGCAAGATATGAACGCAACACTGTAATCAATGAGTTTAATAAACATGCAAATCACAGTCATTAGACTCAAGATCTATTATTTTTACGTAGCACTTTAAAATAATGGATTTCAATAATTACTAACATGATTAAACTATTATTATTACATTTATTATGGTAATTATTTACGTTTGTTAGTTAATATTTAAGGTAAACAACATTAGTTCATGTTATCTCAGTGTATTAACTAATGTTAACAAGCACAACTTTGGATTTTAATAATGCATTAGTTAATGTTGACCTATGATTAGTAAATGCTATACAAGATTATTTATTAATTAATTAATTTATTTATTTTTATTCATGCCTAGCTAATGTTAGTAAACACATAAACTAGTGGACCATTATTCTAAAGTGTTATCATTTTGTTTTAAATAGCTTTTGTTTTAAATAGCCATTTTTAAAATCAAGAAAACAGCAATATTATGGTGCAAAGGATACAGGCCAGGGCTTCGATGGCTCCCTCCTGCTTGGTGTTGTCATCAATAGCACCCAGCCAGGGCAGCACCTGCTCCAGAAACACATTCATGGTCTCCATTGTGGCGATCTTGCTGAGAACGCCAACACAGCGAGCGGCCATATGCCGTACAGCGGTATATGGATGCTGCAGACAGGTGCACAGCAGAGGCAGCTGCTCCATCAACTGCAGATGCAAACACAACAGGAGACTGACTGTAAGAGTGCATGGAGTTTTATGCAAGCTGTTATTGAGAGTTTGAAGAGTGTTGCACGTACTAAAGGGATGAGCTCTTGTGACATGGCTCCTGCTGTGACTTCAAGCACTTGGAGAGAGTTTACAAGATCCTGAGCCACAGAGTCGCCCTGCTTCAACAACTGGCTGGAATCTGTAAACACATACAGACATAAAATGAGGAGGTTGGGAAAAAAAAAAAAAGTTTAAAAGGAACACTCCACATAAATAAGTCAGTAAGTACATTAGTAAAGCAAGTCAGTAAGTCAGTAAAGTAAACAAGTCAGTAAAGCAAGTCACTAAGTAAATCAGTAAAGCAAGACAGGGACTCGGTAAGGTAAATAAGTCAGTAAGTCAGTCAAGTAAGTAAAGTAAATGAGTCAGTAATGAAGTCAGTAAGTCAGTATGCCAGTAAAGCAACTCTAAGCCAGTGAAGCAAGTCAGTAAAATAAGTCAGTAAGTCAATAAATCAGTAAGTCAATAAATCAGTAAATAAGTTAGTAAGTCAGTAAAGCAAGTCTGTATGTCAGCCAAGCAAATCAGTTAAGTAAATAGGTCAGCAAGTCAGTAAAAAAACTAAGTTAGCAAAGTAAATAAGTTAGTCAGTTAGTTAGTAAAACAAGTCAGTAGTTCAAGTCAGTATGTCAGCAAAGCCAATCAGTAAGTCAGTTAAGTAAATAGGTCAATCAGTCAGTCAGTAAAACAAGTCAGTAAGTCAGTAAAGCAAGACAGAAAAGTAAAAAAGGCAGTGAGTCAGTCGATCAGTAAAACAAGTCAGTACGTCAGTAAAAGCAAGTCAGTAAACAAGTTAGTCAGTCAGTTAGTAAAACTAGTCAGTAAGTCAGTAAAGCAAGTCAGTATGTCAACAAAGCAAATCAGTAAGTCAGTTAAGTAAATGAGTCAGTAAAGTAAATAGGTCAGTCAGTACATCAGTAAAAGCAAGTCAGTAAGTCAGTAGGTCAGTAAACAAGTCAGTAAGCAAGTCAGTAATTCAGTAAAGTAAATAAGTGAGTAAGTCAGTAGGCCAGTAAAACAAGTCAGTGAGTCAGTAAAATAAACAAGTCAGGATAGCCAGGTTTCTGTAAGGCAGATAATGCAGCAGTTTCTGGTTTCCCGTTGGAAGGAAATGTGCGCCCGTAGCTCGCGTAGCTTATCCAGTGACTGTACGTTAGCCAGCAGAATGGTGGGAAGCGGAGGTCGAAAGCCACGGCATCTTAGGCCGTACTCACACTAGGTACAGTTGCCTCGAACCGGGCCAAAGCACGCTTGTCCCCCCCTCCCATCTCCCCCGACGGCCCGCACTCACACACAATCGGGCCTCGGCACGCTTACGTCATCGCTGCTGTGCTGTTCAGTGAGAAGCGCTCTCACTCAGCAGAGCAGTGGAGATTTCTCTAGTTATATCGTTACAGTCGTTTGATATGCAGTGACATGCAGTCAAATATTTCACCAAACAGTCCTTAGGGATGCGGTGACACGCAGTCAGATATTTCGCCGAACAGATCCGCCACTTTTGGCGCTCATAATCATAATGCTATCGTGCTGTGAGGAGTTTTCGTCTTTAATAAACTACGGCAGTTTGCGTTCACTGAACAGTAAGAATGATTAATAAATCCATATGAAACAGACCCTTAAAAGTCACGTCTCGCTTTCAGTTTCGGGCTTTGGTACGTTTTGCACTCACACACAAGTGTACCGCGCCAAAGCCCAAGTGAACTGTGCTCAGGCCCACCTCTTCACTTGGCCGGCCCTGGCCCGGTTGGAACCGTGCTTGAGCCCGATTCAGCGCACTCACACTTCTCAAACGATCCAGGAAACGGGCCTGGGCACGGTAAGGATGGCATAGTGTGAGTAGGCCCTTAGTCTGACGAGGACGCCGACACTCTTTCCTCTTTTTCGGCATCGCTTGGGTTGTTTGACCCAGACAAAGGCCTCTGTTGCTGTGTTTGTAAACAGAGCGTCGTTAAAGAACTCAAAGTCCAGTCTTTGATGTGCAACGAGGGAGCCAATTTCCCGAAGTGTGTGTTTGTCATAGATAATGAGAGTGTGTACATCCAGCACGAAAAACGACAAAAATACAAGTAAAACACACAAAACACAACAAAGTTTGCTGGAAGCTCGCAACACGGCGGCCATGCTCGGCGCCATCTTGAACTACGTAAAGAAATAAGTAAACCAAGTCAGAAAAGTAAAAGTCCGTAAGTCAGTGAAGCAAGTCAGTAAGTCAGTGAAGCAAGTCAGTACGTCAGCAAAGCAAATCAGTAAATAAGTCAGCAAAATAAGCAAGTCAGTAAAGTAAATAAGTTAGTCAGTCAGTCAGTAAAACAGTAAAGCAAGTCAGTAATGTAAACAAGTCAGCAAAGTCAGTCAATAAAACAAGTCTGTAAGAAAGTCAGTTAAGTAAACACGCAAGTCAGTACAGTAGCTGGAGTTAAACAGTTGAGTTTAACCATTTTTTTAATCACTTCAGTCAATCTCTGAGTCCAGCAGGAGCACTTTTAGCTTAGATCGTTGAAATAAGACTAATAGCATCTTGTTCAATAATGTCAAAAAACAAAATAATAAAAATATAACAAACAATACAGACAAGACACATTTTAAATTCTTCAAGATTTAGATTCTTAAAGATCGTCACACCAAACCTACTGGTGGTTGCCAGATTACACGTTTAATAAATCTCCATATTTATTTGAATAGAAGATTAAAGTGGAGACGAATTCAACCACACATGCTTTCAAAAGAGTAGTCCTTTATCCCTAAGAGCAAGCATCTACCCCCTGTTTCACTTTGAAGAAAGTTTAAGATGAGGATTTAAACTTAAAATTCTAACAACAGAAGTAGAAAAGTATTTAATAACTAGGCATGGGACGAAAACCGCTTTCAAGGTATACCACGGTTTGAAAAAGTCAAGGTTATAAAACAGCCAAAATTTTCTGCTATACTGTTCCTACACTATATGCAAGATTTTTTTTTTGTTGAACATTTTGGGTTTTTAAGAACAAAAGTATCTCCAGCAGAAAAAATATCCACAGATGCCATTTTATATTGTGTTTTTGAAACTAATGAAGATCGGAGAAGTCAATGATTCACTTGAATTATTTAGCCTAACAAGTTTAGTTTTCCAAAATAAGTTTCTCAAATAAAAATATATTGTGTTCAAAGGGGAAAAAGGTTTTGTTTTTTTACCCAGACATTTTAAAGGAATATATTTTAGAGCAGTAATCACAACATCGTAAAACTGTGAAAATTTTATCCAAGATTTTCATACCGTCAGAATCTTGTTCTGTCTTTAAAGGGAATCAGTTACTCATTCTCCACTTGTTCCAAACCTGTCTGAGTTCCACAAATATAATAAAAAAAAAAAATCTTACTTTGACATGTCAGCGACTGTCATAGTATTTTGTTCCTATTATGGATGTCAATGGCATCTTTTTTCCAACATTATTCAGGAAAATCAAGTTTTATGTTCAACAGAAGAAAGAAAGGTATAAAGATGTAGGCCCACTCAGACTCATTGTTGGGAGAACAATGAAAATATTTTGGTAAAGTTAAAATAGTTTTTTTCCCCCTCAACAACATGGCAAGTGAGTAAATCTACAGTTTGGTCTATAATGCAAGTGTTATCTTGCCTTTCACAGAAAAAAAAGGTTGTCAAATAAAGATTTTTTAAGCTTCTGTTTGTATTAACGAAAAAAAAAACACCACTATCAGGACCTCCTCGCACAATTCTCAAACTACTTTCCTTGAATGTCAAAAAGGTCAAGATGATGAGCAAAATTAATTAAAGCCAGCATACCAAATTCCTGAGCATCCAGTGCATTCCTCAATGGGCCGGTCATAGACTCCCACAGATAGGGCAGAGTTTTTGTCAACTCTTTGCTGAAATGTCTGGCAACAGTCATCAGACAGAACTCTGCCCCTCTCCTCTGGATGAGACACGGCTTCTTGCTCTGGTTTTGTTCAAAAGACATTGCTAGAATCACTTACATGAAGAAACCACAGTGAAGCAGCGGATTACTTCTGTAAATACCTCATCTGTTTCTGTGCTAATGCTGCCCCCGACGGGCAGGTCATTGTTAGTGTTGCTTTTAGGGGTTTTGGGGGTCGGTCCTCTTTTACTGGTGATGGCAAACGCTGCTTTCTGATGCCGGTACAGAGTGATGATGCCCTTTGTTTTGTTCACCATGTGATGCATTGCATCCTTCTCTGCCACTGAAGCTGCAAGAGTGAAGACACAGCACCTCTAAGTATCCCATGAAATGACAGGGCTCACATTAGCAACTTAAATGGCAACACACAAACTAAAAAGCATAAAAACCACAGTGTTTCAGGAAGATACCAATATGTTAAATAAATATTAGGGCTGCACGATATTGGAAAAATTGTACATTGTAATATTTTTTTATTTTGCTAAATATATATTGCGATATGAATACAATTCCACAAGACAAAATTATAGAAATTATAGAAAGAAATTATAAATGTTATAATCGATTGGGACGATTCTGCAGTGGGAGTGCATCTACATAAAACCTAAGAAACAATCTATAAACGTTTTGGTGTTCCCAGACATGTTTTTGTTCTGGCCTGTGCTATTTGCAGTGCATTTCTGTACTTGCATGTGTTGAGAGTATTTTCATGAATAACAATCTCTAAATACAATCAAGAAAAAGATACAATTGACATTTTTTATTATTTCCTGAGTATAACAGTATTAGAGTACAGCAACTGAATGATAAAAAAAAAGAAAAAATTTGCAGTTAAGGTCACAAATGGTACAATTTATAATACCTGAATGTTTAAAAAAACAAAAACAAAAAAACAAAACATGGGCATCAAAAACACGTGCAAATTATAAATACAAACTTAAACATTGCATATCTTGCAATGTGACTATTGCGATCACATTGTGATATCGATGGTGAAACGATATATTGTACAGCCCTAATGAACAAATTTTTTTATTTTACATCATTTAAATGTATAGAAAATGTGAAACTGAGTTTTCATTTTACATGTGGACACTGAATTATATTTTCAAGATTAGCTAAAATGGCTTAATAGTAATAGTTTTTTATTTTATTTTTATTGTTATCATTATACTTATATATAACAATAACATGTAAAACACAAATGAACACGTTTTTAAATAAACTACGTATTCTTTTATTCTAAAACTAGCATGTGCACCTAGAAACATAGAACTAGCATGTGCACATTGTCGACACGACAGCCCATCTAAATTTGAAGTGATCTGTGAAAATTAATTATTTTGTTTGATCTGAGAAAAAAGTTTAACAATATATTCTAAATAATAATAAAAATAATAACAACAAGAACAACAACAACAACAACATATTCTTATAATTAAATAATAATAAAAATAATATATTCTTAAAAATAAAATAATAATAACAACAACAACAACAATAATATTCTTAAATTAAATAAATAATAATAATAAAATAATAATAACAAAAACAACAATATATTCTTAAAAATAAAATATGAATAAAATAATATTATATTATTTAAAATAAAATAATAATAAAATAACAACAACAACATATTCTTAAAAATAAAATATAATAATAATAATAATAATATTTATACAAATAAAATAATAATGATAATAAAATAAATAATAATGTTCTTAAAAATAAAAAGTAAAAGTAAAATTAAATTAATTACAATAAATTTATATTTATATATATATATATATATATATATATATATATATATATATATATATATATATATATATATATATATATATATATATATATATATATATAAACCTTTTAACTGAAATATTAAATCAAATTAAAAATAATTGGAGCTAAGGTCTTTGCCTTACCTTTACTGCTCTCCTGTATTGGAGTGCTAGCTGGCGGGACGGGACATGCAGCACTAGGCGTGAGCATGGGGTCCACACAAACTGAGCTGCAGAGATTCTTCACAATCTTTGCATTAGGACACGGAGATCTGGCAGCACACAGCTGCAGCAGATGTGCGATGTTGGATGCCGCACAACCCTGGACGAGGCTGTTTTCCTCCCGCCGGGCCGCCTCCATCAGGGGCCGCACCACAGGATTGAGTTTATCCGGCAACATCCCCAGGCCCACCACAGCGCAGGCAGTGAAGGTGTGCACTCTGAGCTGCAGCTGCTGCCATTCGGCGCTGGTCTCACACACTGTGGACTGAGCCTGAATTCGCTTGCTGTCTAGTGGCTGGAACTGACGAGACTTTAGGTTCAGAGTGGAGGTGCTTTCAGAGAAGATGGTGGTTACCTAGATGAACATTTAAAACAAGCTTGAATACTTGGTCATTAGCTGTTTCCATCCAAAAATGCAAAATAACTTTATGCACAAAACTGGATTATCGCAAAAAAGATGTGCAAATAAAGCAGCGTTTTCATCCAACGAGTCAAAGCGAACAAAAATTGTCACTTTCTGATTATCTGCTGCCAAATTTTAACAGTAAATACGGAATTTGCTGCGATAAGAGAAGCTGTTTAAATGTTTTCTTCATTTAATAAATGACTTAAACATTAATCCTGACATGCAGTGAATTCACAGTGGCGTTTAAAGGCGTGAAAAAAAAACACCAATACTGAAACCGTTACAGGGTTTTAGAATGACCAAAACAACATTTCAGATGTTTTACAGTGTGCTGAGCCTGCTGGTTTATCCATTTTATCACCACATGATCTTTTATAACAAAAGTCACATGACCATTTTTAATGCGAATACTGAAATTAGTTCTTTAAAAGTGTGTCACAGTTTATGCGCATCTTTTCTTTTTAAATAAAAAGTTTTAATCTCTTACTCAGTTATGCCCATGTTTTTTTTATCCACATTTTTAAAATTATGCACATCTTGCCGTTTCCATCAATCGTTTTTTATGCGCATAAAAATAGGTGGATGGAACGTAGCTATTGAGTCATCAAGATGATTAATAAAGTAGTCATTTTTAACCATCAAGAAACATTAAATATTTGCATACAGTGCATGTATAATAAACATACACATTTTTTATGAATGTTATGAATATTTAAATGGAGTATCTTACTATAGTAATTTTATTATTATTGTTATAGCAATTATATTATTTTCTACACAACACGTTTATAATTTAAATATTATAACTAATATATTCACTTGTATAATTATTAGTATTGTACAGCTATAAGGGTTGGGCAATGTCAACCAATTTGGCATCGTACGATGTCTAATGTTAAACATCGCGATGGACGAAGGCATCGTCGTCGTAGGCGAAAAAATCATAAATAAAGTTAAGTTACACACAAATTACCACCTGTCAATCACTTTTTCCGCGAAAAAGTTCCGCGGCAGAGTAATCTGTCGTTATAATTGCGTTGACAAACTTGGTTGGAAAGAAAGGTGCACAACCAACAGGAACCAACCAACAGTCTCTGAGGTTTTCGCTAAAATTTCTATAAGGTACAAGCGTGAAAGCAAAAGATTGAGGTAGTGTACTGATGCTGTGACACGTTACCTGGTAAATTCAAAAGACGAAAGAGTCATTAGATAAAGACAAGATTTATTAAATAGAGAGACACAATCCAGCAGTACATCCTTGATAAACTGTTCGAGGTGCACTGCTCTCTGGGCTGACTGCTGGAGCTGACTGCGCATGACAGAGTTTGTGTGCGTGTGTGTGTGGTCACGTGATGTCGGTTTTCAGTGGTATAGTGTGGAGATCTTTTCAGAAAAGCTAGGTGAAACGTCAGTGTGGACGTGGATCATTTTTATTCTAAAGTGTCATTTTAAAACCAAGACGTATTAGTGTAAACGGAGCCGTGAGTATTTTTCGCGAGCGGGTTGCTGCTGCGAAGGGGGCAGGGCAGAGGATGGCAATGCCGGCTCAGCATCGTGCTGTCTATTAGCAATCGCCGATGGACAATGGCATCATCTATCAACCCAACCCTAGTAAATATTTTTTTAATAACATTAGATATTACATTGAAATAATATTACATTCCTATACATTACAGTAACATAACACTTTCGATTTTACATACAACATCTGTATTATATACATTATATTTAATGTTATTACGTTACTATATTAATTAACAGGATGGAATATTTATGTTACTTAAATAATAACAAGTTTTTGTTATCATCATCATCATGAGTTTGCGGACCATTCTGCCATGTAAGCCTTGAGTCCATAAAGGACCATGCTATGCAACTTGTCTATTTTTCAAAATATATATTGGACTAACCAGCTCATTGGCCTGATCGATGGTGAAGACAGTGGAGTTGATTCGTTCTCTCACGTCAATGTGGGCATCAGCCAGTAGCGCTATGAGCTGTTTGCATTCGTTCTGCATACGAGTGAAAGGAATGGCGATCTCGTCATAGTAGAGCTGCTCTGACAGGATGACCAGCAGTCGAGGCTGAACCACACTAGAAAGCAGCTCACATTCCTGCAATACAGAACAGGAGGTTATTAAACAAAAACATTCAGAATTTACCAATACTTCTCATCATACTTTCCCAGTTGACCAAATAGCCTATATTAAGATTTTTTTAATTGGTATTTAACAAGACCATACATGGTAGCATATGATATAAAATAAGAAAAATTACAGACTTAGTCTTAGTTTTCTTTTTTTGCCTCAAAATAAAAAAATTAATTAATTAAAAACAAACATATCTTCTGAAAAAAAAAAATAATAATAAATTGAGCAAGTTTACAAATAAAGGAGTAAATAAGAGACAAAAAAATCTCTTTAGGGCAATATTTCCTATTTCCAGTAGTTTACTGTGTATTAGAGCTGATACCAACAGAACAGGGTAAGCCTCTGCTATAGTCCAAAACAAGATTCCAGGTGTTGTAAAAAGATTTGAGATCCTGCAAGTAAACATCTTAATTTCTCAAGTTTTATGCAGCTAAAGATGTCTCAAATCCACATGTCATGTGATGGAGGAATGACCTGTTTTTATTTGAGAAGAATGGCCCATCCAGCTAAAAGTAGAAAAAGCAATAACCTGGCAAGATGCAATAGTCAAGTCAACTCTCTCTGAAATGCCAAAAAGGGCAGTCATGAACATTTGTCAGCTGCGGGCAACTCTAGAACATATAGAGTTGGTTAACAGAACTATATTAAGATTAAGAAATGTTTTTGAACTAAATGTTTTTAAAGTGTTAGATTTAGATATGCAAATAAGAAATTATTTTATTGAACAAGCTGTAATTTAGATGCATTATATCACAAATGTGAGGACTAGAAGTTGGGGTCAAAATTCTGATTTCTGCATAATTTAGTTTTGCAGAATTTCTACAGCAAAAGCTTTCTACAGAAAAAAAAAAAAGACTAAAATGTTGTTTATAATCAGGCTATTGAGTTTTTGAGGAGTATATTCTTCGGCACAAAGGGCTGCATGATTTAGTAAAATGTGACATTGCAATAATTAATTGTTCTGTAATACACTGCATCTATGCAATTCATTGAATAGCACTATTTGGAAAGAATTTAAAGTCACACTTCCTTTTAAGCTATTAGCAACCAATTAACTATGACTTTTGCTTCAATAAGCTCGCAATTTGCTCTGTATTAATTATTATTAAAGTAGTTAAGATATTGGGTATGATGTAGAATAAGATCATGCAGAATATGTAGTTTATAAGTACTTATAAGCAGTCAATGTTTCAATAATATGCATGCTAATCAGCAAATAGTGAGAATGGGTCTTTAAAGTGTTATTAAATGTATTTGTTTTGATTGATAGGGATGATTATGTAGGGAAGTGAATCATGCATAAAATGTAATGAATAAAAGCATAAATACAATAAAGCAAAAAAAAAAGTAAAATAAGCAGTGCATGTTTTGTAAATAAAAAAAATTACACTAAAAAGTCTTTATTGTAAAAATTTATTGACAATTATTGTTTATTAAACTTCCAATGGATAAAATGTCTTGTGCCTGAATACTTAAATCACTTTCAAGCCTTAAAAACATCCAAATTATAAAAGTTCACTCTAATATAGTTAAACTCTGCAAGAACATGCACATCTCATGTTCTGAACTTTGACTCTTGCTCAAATATAATTAACACAACATTGGACATCTATGTGATGTGACTACACACAGATACACACATTGCAATATTGATGCTGAAACGATATTCTGCAGGCCTAACACAAAGAAAAGCAGCAAAGGACACAATTAAGTGTATTTTGGATGTTTTCTTCTATTAGATGGAAAAAAACACTTTAAATGCCAAAATGGTTAAAACTCAATTGAGTTGCATGAAAAAAAAAAAAACAAGTTTGTTTGTAATGTATAAAATATGATAAATACAATAGAATGAATACAAACGGAATAGAATAAACATAAAATTTTATAAAAAATATATAACAAAATAAAATGTAATGAATAGAAACAATTGAAAAAATTAATAGAACAGAAAAACTAAATAGAATAAAGACTTTCCAGTTCTCACCTTCTGAAGGCCGGCCCACTCACAGATGACCATGGAAACTGCAATCCGCTGCAGGGCTGATTTGGAATTGAGGTGGAAGAGTAAAAGTTGAGCGAGAGACTCTGCAGGACGGAGCTCTAGGGAAGAGCTGTTCAACCGTGGGTCACATATACAACTGCACAGCGCCCCCAACAGCCTAGGATGACAAAAACAATTCACACTCAATTATGGCCCTCAGAAACAGAGAGAAGTTAGTTTAAAGCTGCAGTCTGTATGTTTGGCCTCATTTTTAAATCGCAATCTCAGTTTAAACCCTGCAGTTACAAGCTAATTGACAACTTAACATGTATTTTGCGCATTGGTGTGGATAAATCTAATGTTGCAAGTAGTATTTGTGGATATCAGTAAGAGCAACGAGGCGAATCCTGTACTTCACGATACCGGAGTATTGTCTGATTTTATTATATTTGAAAACAACGTATAAAAGTTTAACATAACAACACGGGTGACATTTAGCATGTTTTAAGAGTTGCTCGATTTCGATTTTTCTACATTTGCATCTCTAATTGTCCTTATGCATAGATTACTACAATAGAATAATGATACAAATTAAACCGTGCTTGCTTTAACAGTCTAACAGCATTTAGGTACAGAAATTCATTGTATGAATAACTAAAAAGTAATCTATGTTAAAGCTAGCTACTAACTTAAGTACTTGAAATCTTGAAAGCTTACCTTACAAACATATCTAAATGAGAAACTTTTACTCTATTTGGGTTCAACTTGGCAGTGACTCCACAAATCATGTGCTCTGAAGTGTGAAATTGATATATTAAAATAATATATTGTGCAGCCCTGCTAGTTAGAGTAGTTTAATATACAGTATATACAGACCAGGATAATTATAGTATATTCTTGCCTTTTTTTTATTTACTGTACATTTTCGATTAGTTTGAATTAGCTTCATTAATGATTTAGTTTGTTTTGTTTTTTATTTTGTAAATAACAAAAAACTTTTTATAAATTGAGTTTCAGTTTTATTCATTCTAGTTTAACAGATCTAACAGTACAAATGCCACCAAAGCAAAGTTTAATGTTGGCACAGCTCATGGTAATTCTTGTACAAACCTCTTAGTTATACTATTAAAATAACAGTTTAAACAAACATTAAATCCACAAATGCAGCTTAAATCAAAGTACAAATTATGAAGAATTCAGACACAAGCACTTTGGATATATTGGAATATTTTGGTTTCAAAGTCATGGACATCGAACAAAAACAGGTAATTTGTTCGAGCTGTCGCAAAGTTGCCATAACACAAGGAGAGTGTTAAATGTCGTGATATTTTGTGTAGCATCTCTGATAATTATTTAGTTTTTAGAGAATATAAACTACAGAAAGGCTCTTATCAGCCATGTTTGTTTGCGGAGTGTTCTGTACTTTTATAATTCTTATTTTTTTGTTGCTACCTCCCTAATTTGACTTAAGTTAACCTGAAGTTCAACTTAATTTAAGTTTAACTTTGTGCTTACTGTTTGCTCTAGAAAAAAAAAACTATAATGTTTAATTTCTGAATATTTTAAAACAAACTTGAATAAATGTGTGAGTAAATAATCTTTTTAGTAATATCCTTTTTTTTTTTAAACACTCACTTTACTTTAGCAGTAAAAAGCAGATACAGATAATTAAGCTGAAGTTTAACTAAAAAATTAAAATTGCAAATCGAAATGTCAAAAAATAATAAAATGAATAAATAAATCGTAATCAGATATTTTCTCCAAATCGCACAGCCCTAAATGGCAGCCTAAAAACTCATCAGCACCACTTTAAAATAAAACATCACAAGCATAACAATGTGAATCGGACTAAGGTTAGGCTTCATTTCGAACACAGGCTGATTATTGTAGTAGGCCCACAATTGCCTTGAGCATTTACATCCAAAAAACGTGTTACGGACTGCAGCGTTAAAGCATTTTCCCTCCCACGCACTTCGCAGCCATTAGACGTGCACGTGTCACCACATAGTCTCGCGTGGCAGGCTCTTCTGTGACGGTCTCGGCTCCGCCAATGTATTCCTGGACTGTTTCCTTGACTGGAACAGATCCCTGTCGGGCCTTTCCTGCAGCTTTCTCCTGTGGATGAACAGAACGAGTCTCAGTGCGAATCTGTTTTTGGATGAGTGGGAAGTGTGAAGGTTGTAGGATGGACTTGCTTCTGCCTCACACAACAAGCCTACAGACCACCTACAGCCCATTCTCAGACACACTTTGCAGAAAAACACCCAATCTGCTGAGCTCCAATCTGAGGTGTTAATTCTCCATTGCGGTTTCAGAGTTATGTCGGTGGTTATTAATTTTAGACAAGCAGAAAATTTGTAGCACATGCACTAGGGGTGTGAATCTATGATGGTCTCATGGTTTAATTTCCGATTATCATGTAATCGTTTCAATTCAATTTGATATCACTACATCACAATGCATTGACAATACTTTACAAACCATTTTGAATTTTACTTCACAATAATATAATTTTGTTATGAATATACACAGGTAGAATATTTATGTTTCCATTTCCTCCCTAGAAATAAAAATGGGGGTCCTTTGTTCAACTGTCAGTGAAAGACCAAGTTTTCACCAAGTTAAATATGAGACTTTCAGACATTTTTCAGACCATTATGAATGAAATATTAGACTTTTACAGGGCTAAATGCTAAGGATTTTTTTTGTAATATAATCAGAAAAGACTTTCACTTGACCTATCAAAAAATGTAATGCATTTAACAATAGAAATTTTGTTTAAACATTATCAATTTTTTAAATATAGCCATTTCACAAACCCTATAACCCTTACCAAGAATAGAACAAGACATAGCTGTTCAACTACTTCAGTATACAATAATAATAATTTAATAATATAAAATATAGGTCAGGTCAGTAGAATTTATGTTACGTCTCCAAAGCTTGTTAAAAAAAAAACATAGCATACGTTAATGCTTTTAATTTATAGTAGGTTATTAAGAAACATCTGTACTGTAAATGACATGGGCCATAAATAAACAAGATCTTATTTATTAATAAAAAAAATATATAAATAATAATTATAATTATTATTATTGTTATTATTATAATAAAGTTGGATTATATTTCTTAATAAATAGCCTACTATAATTTACAACCATTAATGATTAATATGATTTATATATAAGATTGAGATGTGTTAGCTAAGTGGTTTTAGGTTTAAGAATAGAATATGTAATATTCTCAATAATTGTAAAGGAGACACATGCTTTATATGCGCCATTAACATATATTTCAATTAATATGGAAAACAACGATGTTTTTATTAAAACTAATATTAGATTTTTTTTTAATGCGTGTGCATGTAAAACAATATAATTTGCACAAAGAAATGATGGGGGTTTTCTTCAAAGTTGTTACTCCACCCCATTTAAAGAGTCATTATGGACATTTTACATTATAACTAACATGGTTTAGATCATGTTTTTTTTAAATGATTTGTATTATTATAGTTCAGCTGAGAGTTATTTCGTTGTTTGGGAATAGCTAAAATTTTGCTTTTGAGATTTAAAACATTAAGACTTTAAGACCCCGTGGATACCCTGGAAAGACTGTGCCAGCAAACACAGAAACAGCGATTTGTGCACAGTTTTCAGCTTTAAGTAGTTGAAGCTTTTAAATTATTCACGTGCATCTCAACTGCCTTCCTCACATCCTTGTTAAATTACATCAGTATGTTATAATAGGTTATGATCGATAACTGAACAGATACCAAAATGATCAAATAAACAATTATTTCTGACCCCACTACCATGCACTACATAAACAGTTTGGGATGGAAAAAAAATTGTAATGCTTGTTATTTAGATTAGTATATTTTAAAATGAAGCAATGTCAAAAAAGGGAACATTGATCATTACATGATCCTTCAGAAACAATTCTCTTGCAGACAGCAAGTTTGTGATGCTACAATTTTCAGTGGCTCAAATTATACAGCCTTGTGCTAGCAATGTCAAGGTTGTGGGTTCAATCCCCAGGGAAACCAAGTGCTAAATACACCTTCAATGCAATGCAAATCACTCTGGATAAAAGCATCTGCCAAATACATAAATGTGAACGCAAATGTTCTTTTGATCTCCACCTTTACCTTAAAGCGGGCTTTCACTTCCAGCAGCATGTTGGGGTCTATTGGAATGTGTGGCGCTTGCATCATCAAACAGAGCCACGCACCCATCCAGGGACAGCTGGCCGCCACCACATACTGCTGCGGGGCCTGACGCAACAACTCTCTCCACACCTTCAACATATTAATAAGCCATTTAACATATCAATCAGATCAAATATTCAAAGAGCGGAAGAGAGAGAAAAAAATTATTACCTTCTGTATCAGCTCTAGTATCTCCTGGTTGCTCTCCAGGATGCAGGACTGAAAGATGTGTCTCAACATGTCCTGCATGATGGGATTCAGCCACACTGCACAACTCTAGGGGAAAATAAGTGCAAGACATTAATTACTTTAAACGGCAAAACTAAAAAGCTGCTTAAAATAACTTTTCAAATCAATACTGTAACAATGCATGAATGGTGCTTGAATGTCTATTAAAAAAAGATGCTGTATAATATATTAGACAATTTATATTTCATTCAAATGACAGTTTGAAGTATATGTAAACAAAAATAAGTAACAGACCTGCTTTTTTTCAGAAATATGACCATATAAAATATAAACTTTTCTGACTTTATGTCTTGACCTACTGTGAGCTAAACAATAGAGAAAATACATTTCACTCTAAATGTTTTATAACGGCAATATTTGACATTGTAACTTCTGTCAGTGCATTTTATTAACAACGGTTATCGATAATGTCTTTGCGCTCAATAAAAATCATTCCATTGTTCGTTATCGTCTTCACACAGTTCAGTGCTGACATCTTGTGAACAAAGTACCACCAAAACGATTCAAAGCAAGCGTGCAAGCTGCTCATACATCGTGTCAACGTGTCATCGTGTTTTTTTCCAATTTCAAAACTTTTGGCTATTGATTTCTTCAAATAGAAAAGCCTCTACTAATAATAAATAACAGCTTACAGGGCTCAAAATTGCGACTGATTTGATTGCATATGCACTTGAAATTGCATCTATGCGACCTCAATGGTTTAAAACAGTTGACATGTCAATTTGCTGCAGTAAACAATGCCTGCAATGCTTGCCCCGCCTTCAAGCTCTTTTTATTGGCCCACTGCACTAGAACAGAAAGCGGATGGATTGGTTAATATCAGTGTCAATCACTCAGTTCCAATGACAGGGAGCAACAGCTGCGAAAATGTCGGTCTGGATACGAGAGAATAAAAAACAACACTGACAGATTTAGTTTTAGAAACCACCCAAAGTTACAAATAATGGCAGATCTGTTTAGTGATCATGTCATGAATGCCAATCCAGAATTTACACTTTTCGATGAGGGAATAAAAGACTTCCAGTGTTAAAAGTCCACTATAAAAATTACTAAAAACCATTCACCATAAAGCTGGTGGCATCTGTTTCAGGTAACAGTGTTTGCCACTGAATCTACACATTAAGCATGAGATGTTCTAACGTTATTTAATCCTTCATTTAATAGTCACGATGCGGTCAGTCGTGCGACTGACAACGCGTTTACCATCGCAAAAGAGTATACATTCACTGAGAGGAAACTAATATTGCAGCTCATGAAAAGACCGGTATTGCTATTCAGATGACGCTTAAGTTATGTCAATATCATCTGAGCAATATCAGACACCACCCATAAGAACACAGCACAGTTATTATTGTTAATTCAGTTTATCTCATTCAAGTCCAGCAGCGCGTGCAGAGTCGGTGAGCACATGCAGATTTTTGTTTATGTGTTAGTTGTGATTAGAGTGTTCATATATAATAGAATGGTAATATAAAACGTAGTTACAGTGCTCATAGTTTTTGGTGGGCGCAACTAAATATTGTCTGTTACACGTAAAGTTTTGAAGTTAGGAGCATCACTGCTACCAAGACAAAAGGTTAATTTCGAGCGCTGGCTCAGTTATTGAAGTTGCAACAAAAAAGGGCAAATACAGTATTATTTGGGTGCTGAATCTCTTATGTTGATCACTTTCACTTTTTCTTACTTGCCTCCTTTGTGTAACTCAAACAACTGAGGATGGGATCGATTCCTAGGCACCTTTAATAAAGAAGTACTACCAAATGCAGGCCACATGCTAACACTGAAAAAATGTGAGCGCAATTGACTTCACAATGAATATCCAACCTGGTCAGCTTTGGAAAGCAGTGTAAAGAGGGTATCTAGTGCAGCACGACGAACAGAAGCGATGGTATGTCTCAAGAAGGGCCACACTCTAGGAACCAGCACTGTCAGAGACTGTTGTGTGCTGGGAAATCAAGAAATCAAGGTGTGATTTAACCATGTATTAGAGGTTATTGCCATATCAAAAGCAAAAACAAAACAAAACGTACAAACAGATCTAATTTGCAAAGGCTTTAAAAAACACGTCAACAAATATAAATACATGAAATAAGAAAAAGAAAATAGTTTAAGATTTTCTTTTTAATTAAAAACTCAGTTATATTAGGAAATTTGGTGCTCCTTTGAGTTTTAAATAGAGAGATCTCACCTGCACTGTCGGACCTGTGGGTAGGTGAGCAGGGAGGACAGGAGGGTCATGATGCTGTTAGTCGAGGCTGTGAGATCATCCAGCTCCAGCAGAGCATTCCACAGTGTGTCCACGATGAAGGGCACCTATTCAGTACACATAGAGATTATAAGATGCTTTTCATGCCAGGTAGTTGCAACAATTAAGGGTAACACTTTAGACTAATGGCCCACTAGTTAATGTATTTATTAACATCAAGTATGAATAATCTTATATGGCATTTATTAATCATAGTTCAACATTAACTAATACATTATTAAAATCCAAAGCTGTGCTTGTTAACATTGATGCACTGTAAGTTAACATGAACTAATGTTATTTTACTTAAATAAGATTAACTAACATTACCAAAGATGAATAAATGCAGTAATAAATGTATTACCAATTGTTTGTTTAAGTTAGTAGATGCATTACCTAACGGACCATTATTTTAAAGAGTCACCGAAGTCTTTAAACATTCTTTAAATATACAGTTAAAAACAACAAACAAATTAATGCATAAATTAAATGAGACTCCTGTTGACACTTGCTAAAAATGTCCTTAAGAGTTTATTTCATAAAAAAGCCTTCTGCAGACATTAAAAGCAGGACAGTCCAGTAGAATGTTTTACCCTGGTTGCATTTGCACCATCCCTTTAAATCAAATAACAGGTGCACCATTAAACGAAATCAACAACTGGAGGACACCATAGTCAAACATGTTTTCGGTGTGCTTTGCACATTTCACAATAATGGAGATGGAATGCAGACATATATGTTATGCGACTGAACCAACAACAACAACAAAAAAAAGAACTAAATCATGTATGACAACTCGTAAAGCTACATATCACTGAGGCTAAGAAAAGAACACAAAACCAACAGGTAAATGCCATTAACATTAAATTTCAGGATGTTTATGTAAATACTGTGCCAGTATTTCAAAGGAAATGCATTTCCCCAAAGTCAGAGTACATTTATGTCACTGTAGTTCATGTTACTCTGCATTTGACCCTGCTCTGAAGTAGCTGCTCGCTTATTTCCCCATAATGGCGATCCTTAAATTGAAACAATTTCCAGTTCCTGCAGTGCAAACACCCTAAAAAGTGTGAGGGAGTGTTTCTGTGAGTAATTCTAAGAATTGTGAAAAAGTTCCTCTAATGCAAATTTCCCTATAGAGAGACAGTAATAAACAGAGAAATAGCTGCAAATACGAGCTAGATGTTGACTTTATTCTGCAATGGGCAAGTATGCTCTTTTCTGTCGTTTCGCATTATTCAAATGAATCGGAAAGACACATGACAGAAAACAGTACAAATTTACACATCAAGCACCATAAAAAGCTGTTTTCAATGAAAGTGAATGAGACCAGGAGTCTCGAGACAACAATGGCTGCACCCACTCTTAGGGGAAAGAGTAAAGGCCCTGCTAAAAATCGTCCTTCACTTAAGGGGTAAAAAAAAGTTCCATAGCCCCGCAGTAAAGTAGATGAGGTTTTACAGGTGTGGACAAAATTGTTGGCAACCTTCTGTTAAAAAAAGAAAAACTAAATAACTGATTAAAAAGTAATGATCAATCAAAAATGACTGAAATTTAACTACTGAAAGTCAGATATTGCTTTCGAATTGTAGTTCAACAGTAGCATTAAATAAGGCAAACTATTGAAACTGGCCTGGATAAAATTAACAGGGTTCATACAGCCACAGCCTAACGAAAATCAAGGACTTTTAAGTTCGTTAGCATTGTCATTGGTCATGCATCATTCTAATTCTAAATAGTGAATAGTTTGACAAAATTTAGTCAAGGAGCAAATATAAATAATTTTTACTTTAATGGCGAAGAGATCGCGATTGCATACAGTCTGAGCGCACACACGTGACAAGTGATAAGAGGACTTGCAGTTCATTAAAAAAAGCCTATTTAAGAGCTCGCATACCTGGTGACGTTAAAGCACTCATTTTGCAGAAATTAGTAATTGCACAATACCTGCATTCCCGCGCCGACATTGAGTGTAAAAGATTGACAGATCAGAGGCAAGTAAACTAGCCGTCGGAGAGGAGAGCGCGAAATGTGTGTGTAGATCGTCGAAATGGCAGGATGTCCGCAGTTAAATTACTCTTGCTAATAACACAGACATCTCTATAGTGAAAACATCCAAAAAGCATTATTCCAACAAAACATTTGATTTTCAGTTGGGGTTTTTTCTTCTGCCACTGCAACACAGAAAGGTGTTTGTCCCGCCACTTACGTTTCACGGAAACTAGACAAGGTCGACTGTGATTGGTCACTTTTCATATAAGTCAAATCACCGATTTGAAATCCCGGTAGTTTGTGCGGGCATTTTAGCATTAAATTGTCACAAAAGTTCAAACACTTTTTAATTTTTTCAGGCGTGAAAACTGCATAGAAGTTCTGCTTTTAATTTCAAGCACTTTTAAGCACTTTTCAACAAAACAAGCCAGTTTTCCAGGTATTCCAGCCCTTGAATTTCTAAAAGCCAATTTCAAGCACTTTAGGCACCTTGTGCGAACCCTGAATTAAGAGTACCAACAGTTTTGTACATGTCTGTAAAAGTGTCACACTGCTTTTTTGAGTTAAACAAGCTGAGAGAGAAGAACGGTTTCATAAACATCAGGCAAACAGCCTTCTTTGTGACAAGTACCACGTTACAATGCTTTATATTTGCTGTGGACAGGAACCGAATGGAACAATGTTTCGAACTTTATCAGAAATGGTAAGATGTGGTTGTGCTTCTTGTCTAGGGTGTGAAACCCTCCAAGTCTTTCCGTGAGCAAGCTGACAGGTTCAGATACATCTGTACCAGCTCTGCTACTCAACCCTCCAGTTTATTCATGTTGCTAACTTGGTGTTGCTGTGCTGAATGTTTTTCTCCTGTATGACTATAAAATGCATGGATATGAAGCATGTCAAAGGCGAAGTTCCTAAACACACCAACTGATTGCATAATCATCACTGACCAATGGTAGCTCAAATGCGTTTAGTGGCCAAAACAAACTCCCTCAAAAAGTTTGCTTTGGTGAGCAGTTTAAACTGCCAAAACAAACTCAGAGAACTTTGTTTTGGCTGGATTGTGTTCGAAATAACAATTTCAGTTCTTTTTTCATTCAATTTACTTTGCAGTATACTAGGGTGTTAAGGTCAGAAAGACAGTGATTGGACAACTTGTCAATATTAGACTGTTTTAAGACTTAACACACACTCTCTACAAGTTTAGAATGGAATGAATGGATAAATAGTAAGCTCATACCTTAGCAGGCTGTAACTGAACCAATCCATCTACCACTGGGATCAAAGCCGCTGCTGCCACAGCACGAACGTCATCATCCAAATCCCGCAGACCTTCTGTAATGGCAGGAAGAACTCGAGGAAGCAGCTCTGCGATCAAATCCTAGGGGTCAACAGAATGTCAAACACTGGTTAAACACATGAAAGCGCAAGTATAACTTTCAAATTACAGCCAATAAAATTGAGACTGCTCCACCTGTCTGACAGCCAGAGCATATTTGATGCCCAACAGACCGCCGTGTCGAACTTCCCACTGGTCTTCGGTTAGCAGCTTGAGCAGAATGTCTACAGTCATTGCAACGCCACTGTTTTCCATGTGCCTTAAAGCTACACCCAGAGTCTGAGCACATGTCTCTCTGACAGGTGCAACCACCTAGACAGTTAAGAAAGAGAGACATTTCGAGACAAAAACAAAAAAAGCAGAATAAAATACAATAAAAATGTAACCTACACTGAAAATACCAGAATGCAACAAACGCAACAAAATAATTGGCTGTTTCTCAATATGCTTTCTTCAGGAATGTTGCACCCTTGTATAAAGTCATCAACTGCCAAAGTGTAGTTCCAATACTCAAGACCATAAGAACGGAGGACGAGGGAAAGTTTCCGGAAGTGTTCTTAGAGGATGCAGTGAAGCAAACTTGAGCAAAAAACTTGCTCGAGAATTCCAAAATGTCATTACGGCTGAATAATGGAGGTGGGCAGCACCAAGGTTATTGTAGTTAACAAAAACTAATAAAAAAAAACGAAAACTAAAATTGAAAAATCATTTTCGTTAACTAAAATAAAACTTAAATTTTTTTTTTTTTTTTTTTACAGAAACTGTATTGTGTACATAAACTAACTGAAGTTAACTAAAATTATATTGATCACATCCTTCATTTTCATCTTTATAAAATGTATTTAATATATACTGTAAGCCTTTTAGAAGCAAATCTATTTCATTCATGATGCCATTTTTTGGCAGAGTTTGAGCCGTACTGCACAGTTTGTAATCCTGATGCCATGTCCAGATCAAAAGTATTAATTTAGCACAATTGTGTCTAACAATGGATTTGATTTCCGTAGTAGTGATCTTGATCGTGAACGAATCTTTCTTTTTAACCAAATCTTCTAAGTGAACCGGTTGAACAAGTTAACCAAATCAAACGGAATCATTTGAAATGATTTGCGTCTCCAGTGAGCACTTATACACAGGAGGTATCAGGCATGTTAAAAAGTCTGACTCGAAATAAACCAATTTCATAAGTTATTAGAACGGTACACAGAGACCGAATTTGAGAACAGGTGAACTCATAATATTGCGCATGTGTGATTCACTGAACCAAGCAAACAGTACATGACAGCCTGCTGTGACTAAACTAAACTTGAACAACTGCAGCCCACGTAAACCGAAGGCTAACAGGAAGTCGTAATGGAATTTGAATAAGTTAATTATGCTTTAGTTGGGTTGCAAAACTTTATTTTATAAAACCTTTTAGATCATGGTAATATTTTAATGCACCGTCACAAAAGATCTGGCTCACGGAAAAGATCTGAACTTTCCATCACTGTGCATCTAACCTCAGAAGCAGCCTTGCATGCAAATTGAATGGTACCTAGGCCTGCTATCTTGTGGGCTGTTTTATTTGAATTTGAGGATAGGTAGATGGTATTGTTCATGTGTCCTCTGAATACAGGTTTCAAAAATATATCTTTTGTTGAGTTTTACAATATTCTGATGAATGTTCTGATTGAATCTTGCACCATACAAATATTCTAATTTATAAAAAAAAAAAAAAAAACTAATACTGAAACTAATAAAATTTCAAATAAAACGAAGCACAAAATATAAAAACTAATAAAAACTAGTAAATCTGCCTCTAAAAACTAATTAAAATTGACTGAACTTGAAAAAGTGAAAACGAAATAAAAATTACAACTACTGAAAAATCCAAAACTATTATAACCTTGGGAAGCGCCACATTTTATTTAGATTTAAAGTTCAAAGATATAACTTATTTAATCGCAGGAATTACCCTAAATGAGACAGTAAAAGTAAACATTATTAAATGCATATACATATTAAGAGTCTTTATTTGCTGAAATTCATATTAAAATCGGTTTTATTTTTATTGTGCAAAATTACATTTGTAAGGTTTATATTCACCTTATATATACTGAAATGGGAAAAACAAAAAATCATTGTATGAATGCTGTAATGTTTAAATTAAATTAATTTTAGTTAAAAACGTGACCATATGAAAGAACACAGCATCTCACTTCTCAGAGGACACGTTCTCAGTTCTCCAGGTCTCCCGAGTTCGTTTTACCGAGGCAACCTGACAAGACTATATAACGCTCTTGAAATTGAGAAACAGCCAATTGTGTCTTTTTAACAATTATTATATATGCAAGTAAATCTTCAAATGTCACTTTTGTTGAACCACTAACAAGCATCAAAGCTTCAGACATTGACAGAGGGATTCAAATATTAGAAATGGACAAACCTCATCCGATACAAAATCTCCAAATCTGTCTAAAGCAAAGACGCACAAGAGTCTGATGACCAAATCCTCCAGCCACTCCTGATGTTGACGCTCCATCTAAAAATGTCAAACATCAAAAAAAGCTTTAGACATTCAACTTAAACTCTGACAGTGATGACGTCCACTGAGCTGGTAAACACCTGTTCTGCTGTGCTGCCAACAGTCTTTCCTCCGCCAGCACCATGACACTTCAGCACTTCCCTCAGTCCTGTGCCAGCACCATGACGAATCTAAAGATGCCAAATAAAAGTTCAGCCACCAAATAATCCAATAAAATGTGTCATTGCTTCATTCTACATACAACTATACATCATGCTTAAGAATGATTCACCCAAAGATATAAATTTGGTTATCATTACTCACTCTCGGCTCATTACAAACCTGTTTATAATGAGCAGTCATTGACTTCCATACTTCAATGGATTTCAATGGCTGATCATTTCAACATTCTTTAGAGTATCTTATATTATGTTTTAAGGAAAGAAAAAAAAAATCATAAAAGTTTAAAAACAACTTGAGTGCAAATAAATGGTGAGAATTTTTATTTTTGGGTGGACTATCTCTTTAAGATCACTTTCTAACAAAATGCATACAATTAGCTGGCATCAGAGTCAAATAATTTTTTTTTCTAATAGCTCTAACTAAAGCTGTTATGAAATATATAAATCATGGATGAAAAAACTAAAAAGATCTAATCTAGACAAAAAAAAAATTCTAAATAACAAATTTAACAGGCATATTTTTAAAAAATCTACAAAACAAAAATGGACCATAATGGACCCTTTTTAACAAGACTGTCATGACGTGTTTAGCAGTCATTATGATCTCATAATATTTAGATAAAAAAAACAATGTACATTTATAATATATATGCATTTACACATGTTTATAATATCATCTTTGCATCAAATTACAAAAACAATATTTACAGATTATGCGAGGAGTTTCTAAAACTGTATCTATGGTCAGGACAGTAAATTTGACGTTCTCTCTTCTGGCTTCTGTTATCAGTCTCGCACATTTTTTTTCTCTTTCTGAAAGTCTTGTTAACACCATCTGTCATTATTTCAGCAAATAAGATTGTAATCTTTTTTTTTTTTGCTGTACTCTCCGATTCACTGCGCTCTTAGTTTACAAAAACTATGACTACTGCCGCTACTAAGAAACCCGGAAGTGTGAAAAGGCTCCTACTCCAAGATGATGCCCAGACAACCTAAATTTCTAAATAAGAAATTTAACAAGCATATATCTTTTTTTTTAATCAACTTGATTAAATTTAGAATAATATAAATAATGTTATAAATGTTAATAAATACTGTATTATTACAAAATTTTCAAATAAAAACAGCAGATAAATCACATTTGTAGTAAGTACCATCTCAATTAAGGACAGGAAATACATTTTATATTAATAATACATCTGCAATGATTTTTTTCAGGCAATATATTAATACTGCATTTTTAAAGCACTACCAAGCGTCTCCCATCCAGGTACTGACCGGGCGCAATCCTGCTTTGCTTCAGTGGGCGACCATCTGAGAGATGCAAAGAGCTAGCTGCTAGCTGCCAACTTTTTATTGGTCTAATATAATTCCAAAAGCACTGAATCATTAGATTCGTTGTACAAACCTCCTTGCCCTCTGGCCATTGCAGAGCAAGCACATTTAGAAAGAAACAGCACCTTTAACTCCTTAAAAGAATTTTTAGCTATAACATCTAATCTCTACTCTCTGTGTGGGTTTTTTCTCCAGTACCTCCCACGAGGGATTGAAGAGGTCATTGCACAGTTCATCACAAAAGCTTTCCAGAGGCCATTCCTGAGTCTGTGAAGGAAAAAAAAAGTCATAAAAATGATACACTGAATGTGAACAGCTCATAGTAAAATAAAGGCACGCAAGTGTGTAGATCTCACACCTCCTCAAATAAACTGGAGTTATCAGGAACGTTGTCAATTAAGACTTTGCTGTCGTTCGCTGGCTGCTCAATGACTACATTTGTTGTTTTCCGTCGCTTCTCTTCAGGCTCTCCCTCAAAACTGTCATTGCTGTGGGAAAATAAAATAAAATTAGTGTTTAGATTGACCACCACTATGCAGTCATCCTCTTTACAGTCAACCTCAAACACTTTATATACACTGGGAGTCTACAGGAACACAAAATCTGAACATTACTTTCAATGTATCTATCTTTAAGATGTAAAGGCTGTGCAAAGCATAAAACTGCTCTAAAAAAAACGTCTAACCGACTAATTTAATTCAAGTTTATTTGTATAGCACTTTCTACAATAATTATTGTTTCAAAGCAGCTTTATAAAAGGTGTACATTGCATTACAATCAAACAAAAGTTATTATATACAGACATGGTTAACCTGCAATTTCATAGTATATAGATGACGTTTATGTGTACAGTACATGTTTAATGCAGTGTATTTGTGCATTGATTAACTAAGAGAAACAGAAAAAACAGGTATGACAACACTATCAAGCATCTCTTTGTGCAAGCCAAATCTGCAGAACCTTCACCCGACATTATTTTACTGAGGTTTTGCATACAAATTATCAACTTTCAAATGCGTTACACACCCTACAACTGTGATTCTTGTATGGACAGCATAGTTTAAGGCCCAATCCTACCCCTTGGACCTTCCCTTTACCCATAGGGGTGTCCTAATTCTCTTTAGCTTTAAGGCGTAGGGCTAAGGGGAAGGGATAGATGGCCCTTGAAAGTGATATTTTTCAGGACCACACTAGAAACCAAGGGGTACGAAAATTTCCCAGAATACACCAGCTACAACAACAGCATGGCTGCACATGGAAGTCAGGACATGCACAAATTTAAGAATTTTGTCATTATTGCGAATTTCTACAAAAAAACTGGCATACGTTTTATTACATTCATAACTGTGTTCATGTTTTACTGTAATGCTTTTTTCTTTTAAATAAAACTCACCAAATTTCACCATGTATAATCGCTAATAATAACTCCGGTATAGTAGTCCCACAACATTCTGACACTCTAATATCCTGTCAGAAAAGTCTAGTGGCTGGGAATGAGTTTTACAGTGTCTGGTATACTATTAATGTTGTTTGTGTGTGTTTACATGGATGAATATGGCCACTGTGTAAATGCACAGTACAGTTACGAGTTTGCCACATTATATCGTTATGATAACATGATATTGTTGCCTTCAGTGATTTCCTGAAGATAAATACAACTGGAATTCCTAGTCACCGTCATCAATCTCATATGAAGTAAATGATCGTAATGATGATTTGTGCGGGTGTTGTAGTGCTGTTTTATTTCTTAGGGGTAAATTTTGAAGCCCTTCCCCTTCACACTCCATTTCAAGGGCCAAAGGAAAGAGGAAAGGTAGATGTATAAAAACAGAATTGAGATTGAGCCTAAATATGGAGTTATTTAGTTATGTTCAAGGTGTTGCAAGACAATAAAGCTATCAAATGTACAGTAAAACAACAGTACACAAAAACTGCTAATAAAAGAAGAATGTTACTTAATTGTAATGTAATAACATGCATTAAAACGTGCAAAAAAACATGCTTTTTGTAAAACTGCTTTTGATTAATTATAGTGAAAAGCACTATACAAAAAATCTTGAATCATGTATTCATTTTGCTTACTTGATATTAAGAAAAAGCATTTGAAGGAAACCTAGATTTATGCATTCAGCATAGCTAGCTATAATGTTTGTTCATGCGTTCCATGAGATTCCAACCCTTGACCCATTGCCTTCTATTAACATTTGACCTATATAAATGTTATAAAGGTGCAACCACTTTCAATTGATAGAGCCAGAGCCTCAGGGATAATACAAATCAGTTCAAGGTTATTTGTAAAGTGCTTTTCACAATAATTATTGTTTCAAAGCAGCTTTAGAAAAGGTGTGAATTATTGCATTGCAATCAAAATCAGAAAAGCTAAGGTTATTAGGTACTATAAACGTATTAGTAACTAATAACTTTAGAATTGAAAGAAACTATGTATAAAAGTAGTTAATCTGCAGTTATGTAGTATATAGGTGATGTCCGGTTAAATGTTCATTGAAGAGTGTTTGTGTATTAAGTCAATTCAATCCAATTAATGTGTTGTCCTCAAAGTCCTTAGTTGATTGCCATCATCTTTTTAAAGGTCTTAAATTTAATCAAATCAATGAGCAATCAATCTCTACCTCTTCTCATTAGAATCCACGTCTCTGGATCTCTGCTTTGCCACCAGTTTTGCCATCCTCTTTGCTTTGTTCTTCTGTCGATTGCTCATGCCTGGACGAAACTCAGAATCTATGAGCTCTGCAGCTGGCTGAAGAAAAGTACAGACAAAAAATACATCTAAAGAGGGCCTGATTTACACCAAAAAAAAAAACCCAATGACAAATACACTTGCAATGATATACTTGGTTTCTCCTCATACTCTAATTTCCCTCATGCTCTTAAGCTTTACAAAAGCAAGAGTTTTTTCATGAGGTGTTTGTGATTAAGACATTCTTGCACAACTCACCAAATGATTGCGTGAGAAGTGACAGCCCAGGCTTTTTCCAGGTTGTGTTCTGTTGGTACTGGAGGCGCAAGCGTCCTCCAGGTCCTCATCATTAAAAAGCTCCTCTGTGTCCATGCCGATCGCCGCACCCATATCCAATCCCAGCTTCTTCTGTAACTGCTTCCTCTGCCGGGCCAAGCGCTCTTTGGGATCTGTCTCACCTAAAGAGCAGAATCCAATCAAAAATCACAATGGCTTCTTTTAGACAAACTATGGACAAAGAAATAGTCATTGCATACAGGAACATAAACTACATATGTAACTATGCCATGGTTTGTATAGAGTATGTATCTTGTTTCTATATATATATATATATATATATATATATATATATATATATATATATATATATATATATATATATATATATATATATATATAGGAGCAATGTGGACCTAAATCTGCTCTAACATATATACACTTGCATTAACATTTATTATTATTATTATTATTAATTAAATGTATTTATTTATACCACTTTCCATTTCTGATGGGGATGGGACCAATGGGATAGTAAGCCCAATCAAGAATGTGACTGTCTAACTATACAAGAATGTAAGAATTGCATGTGATTTTTCTGGTGACTTGTATGTTCCGTTATTTATGCATTTCCCCCACTCTTTTTTGTGTTAATAACTGGCAAAAAACCACAAAAAAAAAAAAAAAAATGCAATGCCAAAAAAAAAAAAAAAAAAAAACCAAACAAAATACTATTCAAATGTCTTCCACACAGACATCCAAATAAATGCACACTTATCCACTGCACCTCTTATCCAAGTACAGGACAAAGAAAGTCAAATCAACTTCAGTCAAATTCAGCCAAAGCAATTCAATGGTATTAAATCAGACTTTTTAAATGACAGAATCATTTGTATTACCTTCACAGAAGTGAATAAGTCACGGTTGCATTTGAGGTAATTGATGTTTGTGACACAAAATGTGGCAGGTAAATCAAGAGTATACTTTCCGTCATAAAACACACAGACTTGCAAAGAAAACTTAAAATTAATATCCTGCACCAACATCAGCACAATAAAAGATTCATCCCTGCCAGTAGTCTAATTTATTGCCTGACATCATGAGAGACAATAAGTTAATCCCCTCACTAAGCACTCATCACTATTGTTTTTTTGTTGTTTCTAGTACTTTGTTGTTGTTTTTTTTCAGTCGCCTCCATTTTCTTTTAGACAGCAAAATTATGACCTGGACCAGTGTTAATTTCAAACTCAGTGTAATTTTCTCATGTGCATTCGCTGTGCGCTCTCTCAAGATTCAGCAATGGGATTTTCACATGTATCAGAAATATAAATGCCTGTGGTAAACATGACATGGGATTACTTCAATGGTTTAAGTGGTTATTTACATTTAATAAAAACATGTTCCTGTTAAGGAAATTGAAAAAAAAAATTGGTGTGTGTGTGTGTGTAGAGTTTATGCTATAAAACAAAACTTTCAAGCATCGCCAATTTTTGTTATGTTAACCACAGACTTTATTTTACCAAAGAATATTTCCATTGTAAAACCCCATAGGAAAATCTAGAGGGAACTCCCACTGAATTTACCTTTTGGGTGTTGACATCATTACTGCACACCCCAATTATAAAAAAAAAGCCCTCCAAATCACAAGCGTCAATGCACATACAGAAAGCACATACTATTGATGACAAAATTTGATTCTGCACACACTGCAAACGGGCCCTTGATTCTTACAGCTTCAGACATTAAAGTATTTTATATTATACATTTTATATTATATATTAAGGCTGCACAATGTTGGAAAAATATGACATGTCAATATTTTGTTTTTTGACATACGAATATAATTTCACCAGATAGCTTGAATAGCTCTATTTTGGAAAAAAAAAAAAACTAAATCATAATTTAGACTGATTTTGGATTTTTGTGTGTGTTTGTGTGTGTGTGTGTGTGTGTGTGTGTGTGTGTGTGTAAATCATGCATAAAATATAATAAATCTTCATTGTAAACAGTTAAATAAAATAAATATTTCTTAAACTTACAAAAGGTACCATTTTCATGTGCCTGAAAGCACAGTGACAGGTTTTAACAACACATGCAGATGATAAACTTTATTATGGTTCAACTCCACAAATTTCACAAAATTATGGCTCCTGCTCAAATATAGTCCCAACATATAAATTCAACATTGTACATATAAACACAACATCCTGTGATGTGAATATTGCAGACACGCACATTGCAATATGCTGAAATGATATATTGTGCAGCCCTAACCTATATAGTAATAACAAGTGTCAAAACACGATTGAACCCTACCTGACTTGTCATCTTGAAGCTCAAACTCAGCACCAGCCGAGCCGAGCAGAGATGCTCCGTGCTTCAGCAGACGAGAGATATCAAACCTGTAGAAACTCAGCCTGTCTGTGGACACATCCTCTGGAGACAAATCTTCTGCACAGACCTCTGAGGAGAAAGACACAAGCACATGCTTAACTCAAGACACTCATTAGACAGACGCTTATAAAGCTGTTGCAAACTGGTGTTGATTACATTTGACAGCCTTGAAATAGCCACAAGATGAATATAAACTACACTGGAAAAAGCCTCATTAGATCAACTTAAAGGGTCACGAAACACCAAAACACATTTTTTGAGCTGTTGACAGTCGTATGTATGTATTTTTTATTTAGTGCCATGTCAGCAACCAAGGCTATCTTCATGGCAGGAATCTTTCAACAATAAATATAAAATTTAAAAATTAACAAACAAAATAAAACATAAATTAAATAAGATTTTTTGTGTTAATACATGATAAAAATTCTAAAATCTTTTCTGGTTTCACCTTGTCAAAAATGTCCTTAAAATAGTTCATTTCATAAAAAGTCCTTCTGGAATCAGTAAAAGCAGGACAGTCCAGTAAAATATGTTTTACAGTAAGATGAGTTTTGCAGCACAAACACTGAGTAGGGTTTTGTTGACAGTCGTATATGTATCCCACACTGCTAAAAACACTATTAGGACACCTATATTTCACTAAAAAGTGTAAATTGGTTGTTTTTGCATTATTTTAGGCAAATTTGTACTCCCGGTTTGAAACTAATTTTTGAAGCTGCGTCATGGTCATGACATAATAGCGTGTATTCCAGCGTGCAGACTGGGCGTCTGTGCCAGAGTGAGTCTTATTACGTCTTACAGTGTGATGCATTAATGCATGAGTAAGGCTTGGTTCAAACCAATCAGCGCGCTCTATTGTGCAACTTCATTTATATTCATTAGTCACAGTGTTTAGACGGCAGAGACGCCACGTTGTATTGGCAAAACAAGCGTGAAGTGTTGCTTTTATAGTTTGCTGCCGTTAAGTTTTGTTTTCATTTTTTCTCTGTGAGAGCTCAGCTGGAGTCACGCGTGGATTAACAGTGTACGCGACGCTAGACAACAATAAGTTAAGTGTCTAAGGATGAACATTGTTTACCTGAGAGCTGTTCTCATCTGCAAACGCTGAGATCCGGATTCGCTTGTAGTCTTCTCTTCATAAAGACGCGGCTCTAGTTGCTGGTGATTGTCCGGTCTCTACAGATTTGGTAAGTGAGCGACCAGTGCTCTTTGTTTATTCAGTTTGTTCGTATCGAATAAAGTTAACTATTGCACCGAGTGTAAACATGTTAGCACCACAACCAAACTTTAACCTCGTGTAGGGTTTCTACCTCATTTAGTGACCGGAATAACACACGCGGCTTTCTGACACTACCTGCCGTGTGCATCTAAGTTTCCGGGAAATGCTGAGGTTTTTTTTCTCTCATTCGCCGTGCGGTATCAAACATTGCATGAAAAATACATGCTTAGAGCAGTTCCTCCAATCAAATATCTTGTTTGTCGCGAGGGGCATGAATGAATTCCCTGAATGAAAGAGCTTTAAGTCCACCATTTAATAATTTGGCAAATAATTCGACTACAGATGTCCATGTAGGTTAAACACCATCACTTTCTACTGTGTGTGTGTGTGTGTGTGTGTGTGTGTGTGTGTGTGTGTGTGTGTGTGTGTGTGTGTGTATTTTGACTCTGAACCTCGCGCGTGCCCAAATAGACACTCCCACATCATCCCACTTTTCCTTCTCCGACACTCCCCCCTAAACAGAGCTGGACACGCCCACTTTTCTGACTTTTTCCAAAGTAGAGGTGTGAAAACACCCTGCTGAAACGAGGGGGTTTCATGGCCCTTTAAATGACTTCTTACACACAAAAGAATTAAGTTTTTCCAACTCATTTATTAATGCAATCCGTAATAAATTAAGTGGAAAGTATTCATTTATGTAGTTGAAACAAGCTGAAGTCATTGGTTTAAGTTTTCACAGTGTAGCTACCACAGAAACATGCTAAAAAACACAATCTCCAATTTTCCAGAAATGCAGGCTGGGAATTTTCGCTCACCATCTTTTGGCTTTGGAGATGGGTTCCATTCTGGAATATTCTTCACTATGGCTTCGACAGCTTGTCCAGCAGCAATTCGCGTATCCCAGTTTGGACTTCTTAAGTATGTTAAAACCTATTCAAATCAGAGGAAAAGAAAAACGGATCAATAAACAGAAAGAAGGCAGGTTTGTTAGGACAATACCAACCCATTACATAAGTAATAATGTTAAGAAATACCTTAGTTGCAAATAATTAGAGCAGCACAATACATCGCTACAGCTTCGATATTGCAATGTGCGCACCCACAATTGTCACATCGCAAGATATGCAATGTTGAGTCTGGATTATAGTTGACCAGAAGCCACAGAACACCTGGTTTGTAGAGTCTCAGTTAAGTTTAACCATAAGAGTGAAAGTTTCTCATTTGTATGCGTTTTAAAAGGCCTGTGACTGAGCATTTCAAGAGAGTTTATTGTAATTGTAAAAACAAAATGCTTTTCTTACTTAGTATTCTAGTCTTGTTTCTAGTCCAAATATCTACATTTTAAAGCGAAAACACAAATTTTGGTTACCCCTTTGTCAAATAATTTTGCTTGTTTTAAAGAAAAAAAAAAACCTCTTAATTTCGACTTCTTCTGAATTTGAAAACAAAACATTATTTTTACTTGATCTAAGAATTTTTTGATATTTCAACAAGAAACGAGACAAAGTAAAGCAAGAAAAGCATTGTGATTATTCCATTTCTATACCAGAATACTGTTAGACTCCACAGAAAACAGTCTAATAGAGCTATTCACAACCTCTTTTTCATTTGAATCGTAATAATATATATTTCTATATATATTCTCATATAATTCAAATATCATGCAGCCCTACTACAAATGGTCTTTTTTTGCACTTAAAGATTATTACCAAACTCTTGCTACCTTTAGTCTACAGTAGTCAACAATTTTAAGTATATCAAGAATGGGTTCTGTTAAACAGTTGTAGGACAACTTTAATACAACGTTTCAATTCACTTGACTACTGTGGACAAGAGAAAGGTTTCGATTTAGTCCTGGTGACAACATTTATGCTATCATTTTTAAAACAAACTTGCAATACAAAAACAGTGTAAGCCTAAATTGAACTGCATTGGCTATTATGAGAAAACCCCGGTATGCTTGAGCATTAGGCCCTTTTTATGCTTACAGTACATCTGGTGATTTCAAGTTCTGTTTCTGGACTTTTAATGTCCATGATGCATTCGTACTGAAGTTAAAATGCACTAGACTTTATTTAGAAGTGTACAGCGGCCCAACTTTTCAAAGATCCTGGCCTGCTTGTCTGGTTAGGTTTGCATGTTCATACTTACAGAAATAAACTGCACACACAAGCCTATCAGCCTAGTTTTAAATCAAACCAAACCATATAAATGTGAACACACCTTTATATAGAATCACTAAAAACACACATGACGTTAGGATATAGCACAGAAAACCAAGTACAAAAATAACACTTATTTTTTGTACTGTGCAAGCCCCAGAATAATACCATAACATATTTCATTTTATAATACATTTATATTTTATACAACCAAATCACATCTTGTAAAAGGATGTAACCATTCTTTCAGTTTAGTTCTGCAGATCAAATCTTGTTCTTCAAATCCAATTTAATTCCATCTATACTGCATTATTTTAAGTAATGAAATGAAGCCCATTTGCTCAGACAGATAGTCGGTATCTTTAACCGTTCCTATAGTAATGATAAAAGATGATCATTCCTCAGTGTTTACAGAGAAAGACAGAAAGAAAGAGCTGAACATTTCGCTTTGCTCGTATTTCTCACGTCACCTCATTGTGATGCTAATTTTAACATTGTGGATATCGTTTTCTTTTGTGCTTTTTTTTTTTTACATTTAAGAGTCCAAAAATACTCAAGTGTTTTTGTATCACATATGGGAGCTTTTGTGAACAACAGATGGCAAGCGTGCAATCGTGAACGCTGCAAACAAGAGCTAACTAGTACAGCACAGACATCATTTTTATTTGCATATTAGAAAAATTGAGTAGTTAAACGTGCTTTTCAACCATTCAGAGTTAGAATACGAATCATTAAATGAGAGATATGTCAAAAAATATGTCCCTGCTGGTCTGAACCGAGCCTAAACACTCACCTTTGATAGCAGGTTATTAAGCTCATGTGGGTGAAGCTTAACAACATCTCCCAACTGCTGAGCAGCAGCTTTACGGGTGACAGGAGTCGTTCCTGTATCCAATAAGATAAAGAGACGTTCTAACCTGGAGACAGTGAGAAACGATAATATAAATAGCACAATAAATGTCTGACCATCAGCACAATTCTACAATCAATACAAAATGCTGGGTTCCATAAAATCGATTTGTGTTGGGACAACACGGAGGAATTAAGTTAACGTTAGTTTTTTCTTTATCAATGTAAGTTGTTGCAAAAAAAAAAAAAAAAAAAAGATTTGTGTTGTTTTAGCAAATTTTAAACAAGTGGTAGGGCTGTGCAATTAATCGAAAATCCGATTTCGACTTTTAACGATTATGAAAAATCATTAATAGAGAGAAACGATTATTGCATCATATGCCGCCCCTTTCCAGTTGTACGCATTTGTTGCTCTTAAAAGCGCGAAAGACAGCGTGCTTATGTGTGTGTGCGGCATGTACACACAGTCAGAGGTATGTGGTTAGGATTCGGTCTCATTCGCACACCGAGACGAGCAGAGCGCACACATCTAAAGTCATCTTAACGCGAGCGTTTTAATGGTCAAACAGGTGTCAAAACGTGGTGTTTAGTGGTTATTTATATTAACCCTCATTTGTGTAATAAACAAACGAGTTGAGAATCAAAAGACACGTGAAAGAGAAACCATTAAAGTAACTGCGCGAAATAATCCTGCTGCCGCCTGTTTTTAACATTACATTATAACTCAACAAGGAGAAAATCCCTCACTGCTCTTGATTGAAGGACTTTTGTAGCTAAAGTGTTTTTCTTACGGTGAAGATGCTTAAAGCAGTTTGTTTCATATTTTTATTCTATTGTATTTATTTCTCTTTCCTTTGCAGGGTGGAAAATAACTGTATATATGCAGTTGAAGTCAGATTTATTAGCCCTCCTCAATACCCCTAATCCTCCCCAATTTCTGCTTAATGGAAAGAATTTTTTTTTTCCAACTTATTTCTGAACATAAGTTTTAATACCTCATTTCTAATTACTGATTTCTTTTATATTTGCTATGATGACAGTACATAACATTTTATTAGATATTTTTCAAAATACAAGCATTCAGATTAAAGTGCAATTCAAAGGCTTAATTAGGATAATTAGGCAATAGGGTTAATAATATTGACCTTAAAAGGGCGTTCAAAATATTTCAACCTGCTTTTATATTAGCCAAAATAAAACAAATAAGCTTAGAAGAAAAAATGTAATAGGAAATACTGTTAAAATTCCTTGCTATGTTAAACATCATTTGGGAAATATACAGATTTTTTTTAATTCTCAGAAGCGCTTGTAATTTCGACTTCAATTGATAATAATTTTGATTACAATTATGACCAAAATAATCGTGATTATGTTTTTTCCCAAAATCGAGCAGCCCTAACAAGTAGTTTGAACAAACAGCAAACATCTTTTTTTCTGATTGACCTTTTAAATTATTTCCTCACTTTCAGTAACCGTCACAGCTTAACCTGTTCCCAAACATCCATAGTATGGTCCAAAAATAGAGTCAAATGGAAACTGAAATTGTTTGGTTAACATCATTCCTCAAAATAACTTCTTGTGTGTTTCCAATAGTCAAAGTTTTAAAACAACATGAGGGTTGGGCATTTTCATTGGACTAAATATTTCATCTATTTTCACACAAATTTCTTTAAATATTGCAAAAGGGGTTGATATTATGTTTTGAGCACATAAAATTAAACAATTCAACATTTAGCAACTAATAACATTAAATAAAAAAATGTAAACATAAAACTGATTAAATCAGGCAATCAGTACAACCAAAAAAAAAATCTTAAAAAAAACGTTTAACAAAATTAATATTTATTAACTATAAAGCAATATGGTTTAAATGTCTTCCTTACATCCTTCCAATAACAACTGTTTAAAAGTTTTTCATGTTTTCCTGTTTTTTTGCATGTTGTTTATTAAAGCTTTTAAAATCGAGACATTCTGATTGTCTTTAACTTAATATTATCCATGCTACATTGCATTTGTGAAAAATATTCTGGGTTTTGGTTTGATTTTTAGAAGACTTTTAGATCAGTATCTCATTGTGGATGTCGATTAAATAAATGACACCAAAAAAATTACTGTTTTTTTTTAAATAGCATTTTAAAATAATCTAGAAGTTAAACGTGTAGTTACCCTCAAAATAAATAATAACCTTGATTTAGAACTAAGAATTCTGAAAATATTTTAATTGAACATTAGAATACAAAATTCCATTTTGAAAAGTGTAATTTATGTTGTGCATGAATTTTGTTTGTTATAGCTTTTAAAACTTGTCTATTTTTAAAGAAAGGTTGTGCTAATAAAAGTATATGTATATCGTTTGCTTGTTTTGACACATTATTTAAAATATGTGGCTAAGAAATAACTGAATTTTAATTGGGCAAGTATAAACAAATTTCACTGGCTATTACAGAAAGTTTGAAGCGTTTTGCCTTGTGATAGTCTTAAACTTCGTTGATAATGGTCTTAAAAAGTCTTAAATTTGATATGGATGAAACCTGCAGAAACCCTGTTTTTACCCAGACATTTAAAAATATATATATTTTCGAGCAGCAATCACAATACCGTGAAGTTTATCCATGGTTATCATACCGTATGAATCTTATACCGGCCCATGCCTAGCGTTGACACATGTGGGCGGCGCAGAGAGCCAGTTGGAGCGAGTTTTTACAAGTGTGAAGTCCCCTGGAGGAGCTGTTTTGTGTTTGCCTATTGATTAAAGTTGTTGCATGTCTGCCGGCTCCTGCCTCTGAATGAGTGAGTTTGAGCTACATGTACATTAAGGAAAAAAAAACATGAAGAAACAACACAGAGGAACATAGAAAACCCACTGCTAGCCAGTATTTCGGACGTGTAGAGCAATACAAACAGCGCAGACGTACTGTATGTTAAGGCACGGCTACATGCAAGGCAAACGCCGTGGGTCACAATGATCACTCTATGCAGATGTATAAATCAGCCTTTAAAGTCTGAGGCGGATTTATTCTTCTGCGGCCACTTTGCAGTTACATGATCTCAGGTCATGTAGGACCTATTCTTGAACCTTACTTTGCACTAAATTGACGATGATTGTAAGCTGCGCCAGAGATGACCTGAGAAGCCATATTTTACATTACATCATTATTATTTACATTAAAATATTTGTTTACAGAAAATGCAAGAAATGCAGGTTAAAATATTATTTACAGGATATGCAAGAGTTATAAAATGTAGAGAAGATACTGCTTATTTTCTACTTTTAATATAAGAAAACACCAAAAGTGCAAGTTACTTGATTTAACTTTTTATATATAAAAAAAAGTGACTGTTGGTTTTAGGCAAAGTGTGTTTTCATTTCAGTTGTTCAGTGTTGATGTGCAATAAATAATCATAGATTGTAGATAGTGTTTGTTTCCATTAATTATTTTAAAATCAGTAATGCACCCTTTGCTCAAAAAAACTCATGTAATATGTCAGCATACTGTATTTACTGTAAAAAAAACAATGTCAGTGAACTATAAAGCAAAAAATATACTGCATATATATATGCAAAAAAATTAAATAATTATTCATTAATCGTAATAGAGTAAAAATATTCAATTAAGCAAGATTTTTATTAAAGGCCAAATCGGCCAGCCCTATTATTAATGTAAAATTGGTTTTATATTTGCACATTTGCTCACATGCTCCTTTACCATACTTCTAAAATCACACATATCATCAAAACAACACTCTTTAGGCTATTTAACTATGAACAATGTTGTACTTTGATAGTCAATGGCTGCTAATATGATTTTACCATTTAGAGTTTGCAAAGATTAGGCTGCTTCTCTGAATTTATAGTATATTACAAAGGAGAAAATCTGAATGCGCAAATAGAAAAATCAACTTTACCTCAATGACTGTATGGGCATTTTAATAGCATTAGTGCATAAGAAATTGTATGTTTGTAACATTAATAACGCTTAATTTAATTTAATTCTCTACAGGGCTCAACAATAAGGACTGCCTAATGGCCCGGGCCAGCATTAGAGAAGCTCATGACAGTTGACAGAATCGTTACTGGCCCGATCAGTGCTGCCTTGCCATTAAAGTTTAATTCGCCTGCGACTATTTGTCAATTGCATGCAAATTTAAAATATAAAAATAATGTCTTAGAATGGATAAACAGTGCTTTTAAGACTATCTTCTCTGTGATATCGTAAACACAATATTGCTTTTCGGTTCCCCTTATCTGATTGGATGTTATGAGCATGTTATTTTTTTTCTTAACCAGGTAACACCCATTATAGCAAAGAGACGGAAACATTGCAGCAACATCAAATGATGAGGTTAAAAGAAAACGTCCGTTTCCAACATCTTGGAAGCAGACATTTACACAAGTACAACATGACCAATGAAGTAATGTTTTGCACAGTTTGCCGTCAGTTTGTCAAGTCAGCCACCTTTTGTTAAATAATTTAGAACTGCAATAAAATACCAGCACATTTTCCATAGTGCTCTTTTTGTTTGCATAACGCTTACAATTTTTCTCATTATACAATTATTAACATGTTTTACGTTTAATTTCTAGATTCATTAGATGACACATTTAAAATATGTAGCTAAGAAATAGGCAACTAATGGGTAAGTTAAGGTAACTTAAACTATTTGAGAAAACCGACAAACCATTTAAGTTCAAAAACTAATCTAAATGAGTACTGTGAACTTAATTTGAGTAAATGAAGCAATTTGAGCACAGTAAAACCCAATAAATGAAGAGAACTCAAACCAGCTGAGTACTGCAAAACCCAATAAGTTAAGGCAACTCAAACCGCTTGAGGAAACCGATTGCTACAAACCATTTGAGTTAAAAACTAATGTATACGAGTACTGTAAACTTACTCCATTTAAGTTGAAGTAATGAGGTATTTAATTAACTCATCACCTTCAACAATGAGTTCAAAACTCTTTTCAAATGAGTAGAATTAATCGATTTCGAGTTACCTACACTCATTTCATTTGATAAAACTGACTGGTGGGTTTTTGCAGTGTACTAACTTTTTTTTTGGAGGGGCCAGTGAAAATTTTGGCAGGGCAAGTAAATAATTGAACCACTGGCTCGGTTGGGCCAGTAGAAAAAAATCATTAGCGTTGAACCCTGCTCTATACAATGAACACAATGCAGTATTATTCTAAATTTGATTATTCAAATGATGTACCTGACTACTGTTTTATTCCTCAAAACACCATAAAATACAGTTGATTTCATTTGTATCTTTAACTCAGGGTCTATGCATCCCCAGAAAATCAAGTGATTCTGTTCACACACTGACATCAAAAGATCTAGACTACATTAGGTTTGTTTATGAACTAACTAGGCATTATTAGTAGTAATAACCGATGTGTGATCAACATGGCGCCGCCCATGAGGAGACGAACCGATCGGATCTATGAAGATACAGGCTTCCAGTATTAATGAATCCCTTAATGTGTACAACTTTAATTACTTAAAAATAAATAAATGATAAAAATACACATATCCCAGCAGGTTTCCTCACACCATCCTGTCAGAAGCGTTACATAACGGAACAATAATCTACCGCATCAACTGAAGAGATGGATTAGGAGAAATGAGAGCTGCCTTAATTCAGTCTGTGTCTTTAGCTCACTGACAAGAGCCCAGCCCGGACAAGGATGACACTGCAGGGTTAGTCCACTAATCACCCGTGGATTTACACATTAACCGGAGATTTACCAGGATAAAGTGGAACCATTATGACAGACCACAAACTGTTGGATTCATAACGCACAGCCCGAAATGTAACCCACTATGATATATTGCACTAAAATAACACGGTTAAATGTACTGACGTGTCATATTTTGTAGGTTGTTTCTGCAGTGTTTGGCTGGGAGGTAACTTAATATTATGGTTCCTTGTTTTAAAATGTTGACCGAGCTCAACTGACAGACGCTTTTACTTAACGATAGGATGGATAGCATGTCGTTAAGTGATAGGAATGAGCAAATTGAAGTGTGGAGTGGCATGGTTGCTGGAGATGAGGTATTATCCATAGACTCACCTTGAAACGGCCATGTGTGAGCTGTTCGGGGGTCCGGGTTTGTGTCCGGCCGAGGGTTCGGGTTCAGGTTCGGCTGCTGCTGACCGACGCGTGCGCGGACAGGCCCGAAATCTCGCGCACTGCCTCAAAATCCGCCTGCTCGCTTATTAAATATTTCCCACAGCGCCCGAAGACGCTTGAGTAACTCCACGCCAGCGTACAGATTGATTCAGCCCTCCGCACTTCCCCGAAAACGGTATTTTAATCGAACAAACGGGGAGAAATAATTTTGTAGATCACAAAAGAGAAGCCAGGCGGCTGGTTTTATATGAGGAGCCATCTTGCATTTATTCCTTCCTCCATGGTAGGCGCGCTGTGATTGGTTACATGGGCTCCGGCCGGCCAATCGCAAGGCACTTTGCAAAAGGAAGTACACTGTAGGAGAAAAAAACATGGTCCGGAAACACGGGTTTTATTCATCTTCTTTTCAGTAAAAATATATATAAATATTCATATATGCTGAATATAAAACTGTTTTTGTCGCTGTTCCACATTCGCATTCGACCAATTTAATAATAAAACTTGCATCAATGTCATCCTCTATAAATAGCAGTCGAAAATCCTAAAAGACAAGTATCAACTTCAAGATGCTTGATTAAGAAGTGCACTTAAAATTATATATCACGTTCATCCTGCAAAATAATTTCTAAGGTTTAAAGTCAATATTGGTGACCAAATATTTACATATTGAAACAATCAGGGGTGGGTTTAGTGATTTGGGGCCCGAAGCAGTTCCAGCCATGGGGCCCAACAGTCCTAAAACAAAACCATTTGTACTGTATGAGCATTTTAATAGCATTCATGCATAAGAAATAACGATTAATTTAATTTAATCATCTTTACAATAAACACAATGCAGCATTATATTAAATTTGATTATTCAAATGATGTACCTGAAAACTGTTTCACTCCTCAGAACATCATAAAATACAGTTCATTTCATTTTTATCTTTAGCTTTGGGTGTTATCATAGTAGGCCAGCCTGGTGAAATGGTGGTCCTTTTTTTCTCAAAAAGTGGACCTTTTTGCAGTTATACGCCTCAGTTTCTATTTAACTATGAGATTTAAATTCTGCATTTTAGTGATTTTTTGTTTTGCTGGATTAGCTAGTCAGATCTCATCATAACCACACTTTTTGATGTACTAAAATATTTCCTAAAAAATTGCATAAAAAATTTAAACAAGACTCATTTTTAAAATACAAATTTATTACATCATTTATCATTAGGAAAAAATTGCAATCTGTTAAAGTTTTAAAGTAAAAAAACTGTAGCCTACTGTCATTTATTATGCAAAAAAAAAAAAAACAAAAAAAAAAACTGGTCAGCACATTCAACTGTCCTCGGTCACAATTTGGCCATTTCATTAAAAAAGAATTAAAACATAATAATAATAATAATAATAATAATAATAATAATAATAATAATAATAATAAATTATTAATAGTAATAATTATTATTATTATTATTATTAATAATAATAATAATAATAACAATGAATTCTTCAGAATTTATCTGTTCTCTTTGGTAGAAAAAATACATTTGAAAATTCCTGGATATCAACATTAGCCAAAATGTATTCAAATTAATTTAACATGGTCTGCTTCTGGTGCTTCACACCTTTTTGTTGCTCATTTTTATTTCAGAAATAAGGTCCAAATTTAGAATAAAGTTCCCTGTAAAATGTTTTCTCTGTTTAAAAGCAATACAGTTGTGAAAGAAGACTTCTCTTACATCAGATCATAGTCGAAGCAACAGCCGACAGAGGATTCCGTTTGGTCTTAAAACCTTTTTCGATGGATTATTTTCATTATTTATGATGGCATAGCAGTCAAAATATAGGACAAATGAACTTCTATATGGGACAAATTCTGGACCTTTGTCAGTGAGGGGTGGGTCTTCTGAACCACACGAACCCCTTTCAGGCCTGAACATTTGGAACACATTGTTTAATGCTTATAGTAAGCCTGTTTTTAATAGGATTTTGGCTGTAAAAGCGCACCTACAGGTGTTTCAAGCGCAGGTCAAATTTTCTCTTGGTCAAAATTTATTTTATTTATATTAATTTTGTCTAAAAATGATAAGACCTGTCCAGTTTCATCTGGAATGCATCCCAGATCACAGTTGAATGTGCTGGCCAGTTTGTTTTTTGTATAATAAATGACAGTAGGGTATAGTTTTTTTTTACTTTAAAACTTTACCAGATTGCTATTTTACCTAATGATATATGATGTAATAATAATTTTTTTTTGTTTTAAATTTTTCTTTATTGCAAATTCGTAGGAAATATTTTAATACATCAAAAAGTGGTTATGATGACAGCTGACTAGTTAATCCAGCAAAAAAAAGTACTGCTTAAGTCACTAAAATGCAGTATTTAAATCTAATAGTTAAATAGAAGCTACAGCGTATAACTGCAAAAAAGTCCACATTAGAACCAACGCTTTCATCAGGCTGGCTACGGGCCTGTATATTGAATATAAATATAATATATAATATAAAATCACATAAAATAATTAAAAGGACAAATGCTGGACCCCCCGAGTTCGGGCATGATGTAGTGGGGTAGCAAGTGACATGCTATTAGGTTATGTGAACCTGATGCTAGATGGCGTACTTGGCCAGTTTATCAGGAGTTTTTCAGAGTCATTCATTGGTCAGAGCAGTGTGTTGTTGTTCTAACCGGGCTCACTCTCTTTTCTAATGTCTTTAATTATATTTGTTTGTCTCCATATTCTACTGCATCCTAGAATAATTCACAGCATCAAAAAATGTAAAAATATTTATTCAATTTATTTAATTTGTTTTTGTCCACAGCCGACCGCAACACGCCATGACGGAGATTCCCGAGCCGGTGTGCTCCAATGGGGTGCTCTCTTCAGCGCTCACCATGACAACGAGACTCACAGCAGTGACGTCGCATTGTAATCATTTGCATCTGCATTCCTATAAAGCTCGTCGGTTCTCTCAGCGTTGTCAGTTCGCTCGGTGTTGCTGTTTGTACTCGATTAAGGTGAGTTCTATACCGATGGTACGAATGGAGCCACGCCAATCTCACGAAGTCCGCTTCGTGAAGCTTCAGTCGGGCCCGTCTGTGCTGTAGTTCCTTGCGGTTTGCATTCATAAATGGTTGAATCACGAAGAATATTACGTGTTTGTTGCTCGAAATGTGCCGCCGAGCAACATTCCAGTGAACACTGGCACGGACTGGCGGCCGGTAAGCTCGTGCACTCCCTGGGGCAAGGCGGCTTTTGAGCCCTAGGCAGGGAACAAAACAAGCCCTAAGGACCCTCAGGGAAACACGGGAGGCCGGTAGTGGGACCCCGCTGCGAGGGTTATGGTGGGTAGGAGCAGCGGGGCCCACTCATCTTCTATTTTAAACTATAGTTTCAAACTTTAGTTTAAAATAGAAACCATGGTAACTGAAATGTTTTAACTGTATGTCTGGCTGTTGTAATGTTTTGCTTTGTTTTTCAGCTGAGTTGTTGAGCAAAGGACTATTGAAGATGTACCGCGGATAAGACAAGACAACCGCGGGTTATATTCACGAGTGCGCATTATAATGTTTCCGTGCTGTTTTCTGAAAGTTTATTTTGTTTAGATAAGTTTGCAGGTCAAACAAAATAAACTATACTCTTTCAAAACATCTGTCTCGTGTTTTATTTGTCCTCTACAGCAATACACTGTCATATTAGTCTGTGTAATGCCTTTGTATGCAACATGGTTTGACAGTTAAGTAGTCTAACAAATAAGTAGATGTTATAAATGTACCTTTATTAGTCAACATTTGGTGTAGGTGATAAAAAGTTAATCAAAGATGTCCTAAGACATAATGTTAATGTTATGGTTGTTACATAACTGTATTTATTATAATTCTGTATGTTAAAACCAGCAGATTATACTATATATTTAACATGTCATGAACTTACTGTTATTTTATAAAATTTGCTTAATAAAAATTTCTTAAGACAAGAATGGGTATTGTTTTGGTTTTATGTCAAACTACTGTAAGTTTTAGGTTGACTACAGCAAGTATAGGCTACCTATATCATAACATTGGTAGTCAGAGTTATTTTTAATGACCCAGATCAAGTAAAATGTCTTTTACTCAAGTACTTTTAGCATGTAAAAGTCAAATTTAAGTATATAAAATACAGTTTCAAATAACAAAACTTTGTCTTGTGAAAATGACCAGTGGGTGGTGGGAAAAAAGTTAATGTCAAGTTATATATATATATATATATATATATAAAAGAAGTTGAACAAGTTGTCATGATATTTAGTCATAATGCATCTTTTCTATACATTTCCATTAGACTTTTTTTCTAAATCTATAATAGGTGAATTACTCCCAGGTCAATCTTGACTTTGTCTGATAAAGGTGAGGTGTATCTGAAAGGAGATTGTCCTATGTTCACATTTCTACTTTTGTTCTGTTTTTTTCTTTGTCCTTTTTAGTGCTGTTTTTTCCTTTCTGTATCACAATGACATGATCTGGCAACTAATTACAGTACAAACAGCAAAAAATAAATAAATTAGCCACAGTTTACATGAGAACACCCCTCCAGAGTTATACTAACAACATGAGTAAGTAATTTGACTGTCTTATCTGTACACAATGACACTGGGACTTTTCATTCTGACAGCAGTGACATGTTCATTGAGAGATGAACTAACCATTTTAAGTAAGAAACTGGCTTTTGCAGGTATTCTATGCTGTTTTGCTATTTGTATGTGCTGTTTTGAGAAATGCACTTACTGTTTGCAAATTTAAAATCTGAGAAATGTACCAAAGCGACTGAGAAAAACTGTAAACTGTTTATGAAAATATCTATAAAAGCATATATCGTCTTCCAGATGAGATGTTAAACCGAGGTCCTGACTCTCTGTGGTCATTTAAAATCCCATGGCACTTCTCATAAAGAGTAGGGGGTGTAACCCTGGTGTCCTGACCAAAGTCCCTCAACCGGCCCTTATGATTATGGCCTCCTGATCATCCCAATCGGCTCTATCACTGTGTCTCAACTCCACCAATAGCTGGTGTGTTTTGAGCGCACTGCTGCCGTTGTCCTGTGGCTGCCGTCGCATCATCAAGGCAGATGCTGCTCACTGCACACAACATTTTATTCATTCATTCATTTTCTTGTCGGCTTAGTCCCTTTATTAATCTGCGGTCGCCACAGCGGAATGAACCGCCAACTTATCCAGCAGGTTTTTACGCAGCGGATGCCCTTCCAGCCGCAACCCATCTCTGGGAATCATCCAGACACACACACATACATATACACACACATTGACTATGGACAATTTAGCCTACCCAATTCACCTGTACCGCATGTCCTTGGACTGTGGGGGAAACCCACAGGAGGAAACCCACCCGGAGGAAACCCACGCAAACACAGGGAGAACATGCAAACTCCACACAGAAACGACAACCTAGCCGAGGTTCTAACCAGCGACCTTCTTGCTGTGAGGTGACAGCACTACCTACTGCGCCACTGCCTCGCCCATAACATTTTATACAAATCCATAAAACAGGTAAAAACAAAAGGTGCCTCAAAGCTCTCTAAACTTTTGTCCACTTATATGGACTGACCCCCCTGAATGTAATGTATTTTCTTTTGTATTATTTAGGGTTTATTTATGTTATTATTATTTTGTACTGTTTTGTTTATTATATACGGCTTGGACAATGGAAGTTGAAAATCCCTGTTTGTTATTTAAAAGTTGAATAAATAAAAAAATAAAAAAAACATTAAAAAAGTTTTTGACTATGGTTTTAGCCACAATATTATTAGCCACGCCCCTCTTACGCTTAGTTTGCTATCCTCTTGTTAAGTGTGACGTCAAGCGAAGCGGCTTCCGGGTCCAAGCGCTCTATTCAACTGTATGGGGAGACTCATGAAATTGTAATAATAAACGTTTACAAAGCGATTGAATGATTTCGAAAATCACGATCACAGTAGATATGTCCATGCCCAATATCCGATGGTCTCAAAGTGATAAATTTTTTTATAAATTGTAAAATTTTTGGTATTTGTTATGCAGCAAGCCCAGAGATTGTTGTGTACACTATGACTTTATATAAAATTAACTTT